TCTCTCAGATGTTCTTTACATTGGAAGTGGTCGTAGAGTTCCTTACATCGCCATTGGAGGTTAGTTTTTCCAAAGTCTCTCTCTGTGTCTGCTCCAATGCCTTGAACATGAGATTTTTAGAACCGATTGAAGAAGCTTGCTGATTGTGGCGATTCTGCTCCCTTTCAATATGTTCTAAAATCTTGAATGTGTCAGTGTTTCTGCAGGTTTTAGCATGGGGTTCAATGGGGATGTTTCAAGGAGCTAGAGAAGTTCTCCCTTCTCTTGTGGCATTTGTCCTGCTTAGCAACCTTGGAGCATCCATCACTGAGGTTGCAAAAGACGCTCTTGTTGCGGAATATGGTCTGAGATACCGAATAAACGGTCTCCAGTCTTTCGCGCTCATGGCTTCAGCAGCTGGTGGAGTCCTTGGAAACTTACTTGGAGGATATCTCTTACTCACAACACCTCCTAAGATCTCCTTTCTTGTATTCGCTGGTTTGTTGTCTCTGCAGCTTGTTGTTTCTTTATCTTCCAAAGAAGAATCTTTCGGCTTACCACGGATAGCAGAGACAAGCTCGGTTTTGGAGAGCGTCAAAACACAGATATCGAATCTTAAGGAAGCAATTCAGGCAGACGAAATCTCCCAGCCTCTTATTTGGGCAGTAGTATCCATTGCAATGGTCCCTCTTCTCTCGGGATCAGTCTTCTGTTACCAAACTCAAGTTCTAAATCTTGATCCTTCGGTTATTGGAATGTCGAAAGTGATAGGACAATTGATGCTTCTTTGTCTAACGGTGGTCTATGATCGATACTTGAAGACACTTCCCATGAGACCACTGGTCCATATCATCCAACTCTTGTACGGTCTATCGATTCTCCTCGACTTTATCTTAGTGAAGCAAATAAATCTCGGATTTGGAATCTCCAATGAGATTTATGTGCTGTGTTTCTCCAGCTTAGCAGAAATCCTTGCACAGTTTAAGATCCTTCCATTTGCAGTCAGATTAGCCAGTATGTGTCCACAGGGGTGTGAAGGATCAGTCACATCTTTTCTTGCTTCAACTCTGTGTCTATCACAAATAGTAAGCGCATTCTTAGGGGTAGGATTGGCTAATCTGATCGGTATAACATCAAGTAACTATTCAAACTTGTCTTCAGGGATTCTCATACAGTCTCTAGCAGCTTTGATGCCTTTGTGCTTCATGCACTTTGTGCCAATGTCAGAACCTGTGATTGAGAAAGAAAGAAAAAGAGGTATAAGTAAGAGAAGCAGGAGAAACAGACGAGTCGGGAGAGTAGTCGATAAAGAAAATGTTGATTATCGACGGGAAAGAGAGTCAGAAGAAGCACAGAGATAGTGTAAGTATAGTTAAATCACAAATTAGAATAGTTATGTATAGCGAAAACCAAATTGTTACCAAGAAGGATATATACTGAGATTTTCCTTTTTTCTCTGTTTCTTGCTGTTGCCAAAAGAAGGTATTGCCAAGTACAAATCCTGAGATCATCCTATTCGAAGATTAAACATGTTCCGATACTTTCTCTTGGAAAAGCTAGGCTCCTACATATGAAGATTCAATGCTTCACTTTGTATATGTCTAACCAACCGTTCACTAAAACTCCACTACAAATCCTGAGATCATCCTATTCGAAGATTAAACATGTTCCGATACTTTCTCTTGGAAAAGCTAGGCTCCTACATATGAAGATTCAATGCTTCACTTTGTATATGTCTAACCAACCGTTCACTAAAACTCCACATCGAAATCATAATGTTCCACGAATCTACGTTTCTTCTCCTAGGCATTTTATCAAACACTTTCCGGGCTTCACAAAATGTCCGAAACAAAACCAAAACTCTAATACTTTTTTACCAAGATTAAAGGACCAAGTCTTCACGTGCGCGATGCTCAACGATCTCATTAGAGACACCAATTTCTCTTGCGCCAATTAGAATTTTACGCCCCGACACGCTAGACACAGTTGCAGTTTTTAAATTTACAAAAAACAACCCCAATATTTATCATATTTAACGTTTTTAGCCCAAAACTTCAGTTACAGTTAAGATAGGATACCAACCAGACCGAGATCAACCCGAACCGCAATTGAACCAAAATTCTCGGTAGTGAAAGTCATTACTTCAGATCACTTCATTTGGATTTTGTATTGGATACCTTGGATCTAAAATTTGTAGATTTGGTTTTGTTCAACTAGAATTTAAGAGCAAATTACAGAGAAAGTCAAATAAAAAACACAAGAAACACATCTCCATTAACTAAATTAACAAAAGAACACAAGATTCGTTCGTTTGTCAGATGGATAGAATTACATTATTACATAACTTGGAAAAACATAAACTACACATCATAAGTACTTCTTATCCAAGCGTCAAAACACAATTAAAACACACGACGTTTATCAAACTGCCATGGTACTTCCAACACCAGCCTTGTGCTCGCCCACAGTGTGTGGTACATGACCATGACCATGACCATGACCTTGGCCTGTAGCGTAGTCCTGGTCTCTGTAGCCAGGACCATATTTGCTGCTCAATACGCCGGCGTGGATCAACATGAGGTAGAGAAATTGAGTGAACGTCAAAATGATAATGAAGGCTTCAATCATTTTCAACCTCCATCCTCTCCATCCTCCTATGTTTATTTGCTTGCATGCCAACCTTTTTATCAAAATATAATGAATTTATACCATTTACCAAACACCGACACTTACATGCATCTATATAAATAAGTTGACAAATATCCAAAACTAAGTTTTGGAGAAAAATAGTTGTCAAAATTAGCACTTCATGAGATTTAGAACTACTGGGACATCATAGATAAAGTAATTACCCCATGGCAAGAGCTGTGATGGCCCATGCAACGATGGAAGAAGCTCCGGCAGCGGCCAGACTATCATTCCTCCAAAACCTAATATGATTAGCTCCGGCAATCTTCGACGCTACTCCTATCACCGCCGCCAAAATCGAAAACGTCAAGAAGAACGGTGTTGCTCCATTGCCTCCAAAACCTATTTCAACATTATCAATATATATAAAATTCTTAATTAGTGATTCCATTAAATAAGCTACATGATCATATATATAGCTAGAGAGAAAGAAAAATAAATTTACTTGGGTGATTAGTTTGACCGTTGATGTATTTATTGAGACACCAACTTGCGAAACCTAGCACAATCAGGTACATAACAAGATTCAAGAACAGCAATGGTGCTGCTATGTTTCTTCCCACTGTCGTCGCCATCAATTTCCTCTTTTACCTTCCTCTCAAAGCTCTATTTAACTCTTTTGCTACTCAAAACATTTATTCTCTCTGATCCAACAAAACGCTAACAAACTTGTTGGGTGATGATCTATGGAAGGGATATGTGACATAGTTATATACACCGAGCTTATGTGTTCTTTGGCAAGGAGCACGTGCCATGCGAAGAGGACCTTTGTGTTTAGCTACTTACAGGTGGTGGGACGCGTGTCGTAACGATGTTCAAAAGTGTTGGATATAGCCAGTGTTGTCATTGAGCTCGAATCTCCAAATTTTCTTTTATATTATCTCCTCATGTTTCCCATGTTTTGTCACATATTAAATGTTCCAAGCTACCATATGTTGGGGTCAGTAATTAATTACTTAATCCATCTGGAATTAATGAATATGTGTATAGCCATGTAATCTTTTATTTATATTGCTTAAGATTGAGATATTAGCTTAAAAATTTCATAACAAAAGTTTCAAGATGGCAAGTCATATATAACTCTGTTTTCCCGTTACAAACGTATGGCCAATGTTGCAATAGTCGAATCCTGGTCTAACGATTTTAATAAACTCCCTTATATTAAACTTCTGTTAATTAATTAAAATTAGACATCAAATTATTCCGGCCATGACAAATTACAAAGATAAAATTGATAACTAAAAACCTATCTGACGAAGGATTCTAAATTTTTACCCTAAACATTTGTTCTGTTTAAAAATTCTAGAACTAGTCTTTTTTGGCAAATTTTCTTTTCGTTTGTTAAAAATTTATTTGAAGAAGGTTTGAGATAATCAAAGGGGACAAGTAGTTTAACCACCGACTATCTAGAACTTTTTTTGTTTTTCTCTTTTATCTTAACCACGAAGGCGTTGATATCCGGAATTGTTTGTAACGAAATTAATTATACGAATAAAAACAAAAACAAAAAAAATTCAGTTGCATCCGGTGACGGTCCTTGCTAGGCCTGGGCTTTCGGTTATCTGTTCGGTTATCGGTTGGATCCATTCGGTTTTCGGTTCTTTCGGTTCTAAAATTTAGTATCCATTCGGATATTTTGAAATTTCGGTTCAGTTGCGGTTTGGTTCCGGTTCTTTCGGTTTTAAAATTTAGTATCCATTCGGTTGTTTTGCTTAGGATATTTTCGGATATTTCGGTTATTTTTGAGTATTTTCGAATATTTTTGGATATTTTTCGGTTATTTTTGAGTAATTTTACTATTTTTATAGATTTTTCAAATATTTTTGATTATTTGGTCTATAAATAACTAATTATTTCGAAAATATAATTGTATTTCGGGTATTTCGGTTACCCGAAATATTTCGGTTCGGTACCGATTCGGTTACGATTATTTCGGTTATCAAATTTAGTATCCATTCGGTTATTTTCAAATTTTCGGTTCGGTTCGGTTCGGTTTTTTTTCTTCGGTTTCGGTTCGGTACATTCGGTTCGGTTTAAAAGCCCAGCCCTAGTCTTTGCGGCCGATTGCTTCATGGGCCTATATTGGGTTGGCACCAAAATAAACCGCATCTCCAAACATGTCGGTCGTTACCGCATGGCTGTTTTCACATTTGTTTCTAAAAGTAAGAACAAACCGATAATCTACATGAATGATGAATCAAAGTTATGTAATAAAGATGACTGATACCGGCCACAATGGTGATGACCATAAATTGGAGCTGCGGCCGATTGCATCATAGGCACACCAGACTATATAATTGAGGTTATTGGATGAATTGACCAAAAAACAGTTGTGTGATGAAAAATCTTACTTGGTAAAATTTGGTGTAAACAAGTTTGTCGGAAACATTACAAACATTTCCTTCTTTTCTTTTCCTGTGTTTCCAGCATTCTGTCTGTCTTTACACTAGTATGATTTTTTTATGAGACTTACAAATGTTCAATAATTTTACGATAATCGGATATTTTGAGAATTATGAATTATGATGATGTTTTGATGGACGAAACTCCTCCGGTTTTCTCAAGATCCCGTTGTCTTGCTCGTTCCATTTTCCGCTTTCGCCATTCTTCCAATGCTGTGCGGATAAAAAAACATTTGTTACAGATCAAAACCTTCATGTATAGTTGGTTCTGATCCAAATTCTATATAGCATAAACAAGAAGATTTCGTTATTATATGTACCTTTCAAGCTTGATGCATCATTTAGCGCACGGAAATCCTTAAGTCGTTTAGAGAGATCAACGGCTGTAGTCTGCTTCACATCTTTATGTTGCTCGGTTTCTTGTCCCGCAGATGCCTCCTGTTCGATTTCTCGGACCTATCATTCAAAGAACACACGACCAAATCTTTACTCTCTCGAAAGAATATGTAACTTGTAGATTTGTAATGTAATGCGAAGAATCATGTAAATGATGTATAATGTTGTTGCTTACTCTTTTGATGAGCTCTAAAGGTTGCATCTTGAGCCTAATCTCTTCAGCTTCCTTGATATACCGAAGCTGAGCTGCATTTATCAAAGGCTATGTTATGTATATGATGAAAGAACAAACTTGTAAGTAGCCAAAAGGAAGACAAAGCCCTGTAGAAGACATCAACAATCTTTCAAAGTTGTTCACCTCAACAAGGCTTATGATATCAACAGTTCCATGGAAAGAGCTTAACTTTCAAGTGCCGTATGCACTTGGATTATTTGTTCAATACGAAAATATCTAAACTTTCTCGAAATCGAATCATAGCATTGTAGAAGCCCTAGAAAGAGCGAATCCAGAAATCTAAAAACTAATCAACAAGCCTGAATTGATTTTGTTATGAGAACAGATCCGAGAAAGACCCATCAAGAGATGATTCCTAAAGCACCAAACTTTGATCGAATTCCAATGAAATCCAGAGAAACTACGCAAAATCAGGATATACCCACAAGGAATCACGGAAAGTTAGAGAGAAAGGACGAGAGAGAGATGAATTGCAACAGACCTGAAATGAGTCGGCGAGAGGAAGAAGAAGAAGATGAGGATGATGATGAAGTGAAAAAGCCCTGAAGGAGGAAGAGGAAGATGAGAACGTTGACGACTGTGAGAGCAATTGTGGCGTTCTTGAACGAAAACCTCATACGCCATTGATGATCCATTATCCACTTCCAAAATCTAAATTGTGGTCTTCAGGATTGATCTTACAAAACTTGAATTTTATCAAGGATCTTGAATCTTCTTCTACAGGTCTTTGACTTTAGGTACTTATTTTGGTTGGACTTTCTAAGCACTGTATCTCCTTTTTAGGTAACGATTTTAACTATTACCTAAACAATCCATAACCTTATACTAATATTTTGATTTGGTGACATAAATCCAAACATTTGTTGTTTTCTTTGCCTTTGATCCATCAGATTTAGAAAAAAATCCATAGTTTTCATAGTTTTATCAATTTAAAGTTGGGAGTTTTAAAAATACTAACATATTTTGTAAGGACAAAACTAATAAGTCAAACTTTTTTTTGTTATCAATCCATCAATGTATGATTTTGATGGTCTTAGAAACATCTTCTCTTTGACCAAAATGAAACAGTCTTCTCTGTTTCTGCAAAACGTTTTGACTTGAGTCAATGAAAACTCCAAAAGACAGTAAACAACATTCATTCCTTGTAATCAAGAAACACAACTCTTATCACATTAGATAACTTCAACTATTTACAATATGAGAGAACAAATAAACAAGAGCCTTCTCTCTCAGAACAGAGACAATTGGTACACAGCCAAAGAAGAAACAAACTGGAAAACTCCGAATTGAATGACCTAAAGAAAAACCATATCCGAAAACCGGATTCAAATCAAATCTAAGCTTCTGCATGCTTTTATCCATATTCTCCGGTATACTTTATTCAAAAAGTATTGAGTAAACTTGCAAACCTCAAAAAAAAAAAAAACACATAAACAATGCCAGCTTTGGAAGGGAAGCTAAACAGGGTTGTTTCTTTGTCTATCCTTCTGTTCTTGATGTCTTGGAGCTGCATTAAGAATGATTCAATCATTTTTTTTTCTTTCATCAAGATGCGAAATCAAGAAACCAGAAGATGATCTTTAAAACTTACCTAGTCCACTAGCTTCTGAGGATCCCATGATCCGAAGCCTTTTCACCGAGTTGATAAACATTCTAAATAAAAACGGAGAAAATAATATAGATCTTACCAGAGACTAATCAGGTTTTAAACTATTGAAACACAGCTCAATTTTTGATTCTAACCTCCATGGAACATCGCCCACAAGCATCCAATCGCCTTCCTTATCTTCATAAGTGAGTACAAAGTCTGATGATCCATCTAATAGCCTTAAAGGTTTAACCTTTTCTCGAGAAGTAGTACCTGATAGATTAAACAGAAAATGTCAGTCAAAAACATCGGGTTTATATAGTGTAAGCATTTGAAAACAGTACCGACCTGTCATTCCGAAGAACATTTCCTCAAGCGTCTGAGCCAAGTTTTCGTAAGAGGAATGGGCTCTCATATCCACTTTTCGGCCTATACCAACTCCATCCATATTCACCTTAACAAACCCTAAGCCCTGAACTTTCCCATTCACCTTCATTGACACATCTTTGAGCTCATCATTCTTCGCAACTTTCTTCTCCCCGTCTTCTTCTTCTGCTCTTGCTGCCTTCATAGCTTGGTTATTAACCAAACTGTTCATCCTGTGTGACCCAATTGGTGGCCATCCCACCACTTGACTGCCACAACAAACCAAGAATTTCCACTCAATTACTCTCGAAATTCAGATGTAATCATCTATACAAAACATTACTATGAACAAATCTCTTAGCATATGCATGACTCCTAGAAATATATATAGCACAGGACAAGCTAAAGCTCATCAATGGAGATAGATACCTAACTCTTATTCAGGGTAAACCAAAACAGAAGCTAACTTAACTGCTACACAATTCTGTTCTAAGATGGTAACATTCACATCAAAAGATTTGAGCTTTCTTGATAAAAAGGACGAACCTTGAACGAGGAGGAGAAGCTCCTTGATGAGAGGAAGACTCAGCAGAGCGTTTAGACCCAACAGAAGGAAAATCCTTAGCCGTAAGAATCCTCCCACGCTCTTTCCACGCGCCACCGCCGAGGCTGAGCCCTAATCCCAATTCCAGCTCACTCTCAGCCGGAAGATTACTCTTCCCCACCTCCAATTCTGAAACACCACGCATGTCAATAACAAAACCCTAGACTCCAAAGATACTAAAGAGAGAACCCACAAGAAAAGAAGCTTGATGGACAGAGAGAATGGAGACAAAAAGAAGAGAACGAGGGTATTTAGGGTTTCAGAGAGACGAGAGAGAGATGATGAATGAAAACAGAGTAAAAGAGAGCGAGGAGGATTTGGTGGTGGAGAGAGTGATGAGAATTGGGACCCATATGTCTTGTAATGGCCAAACCATAATGCCATTTTTTTCTAACCAAAAGTCTTCTCCTTTGTTATTAAATTATTGTTTGCTTTCTCTCAAACTTTTTCTTCCCGACATTATCAAACCTGTCGTGCTCTCGTTGCGTTATATTGTTGTATTTGGTTCAAGCAGCAAGAGAAAAATAGAGAGTCCCAAGAAACTTGTTTACAGTTGTGTGTGTGTGTGTGTGCAAGGTTTTTGCTTTTTGTTACATCATATAGTTTTTTGTTTTCTTTTCCACTTGTATTTCTTTTTGGTGTAAAATGGCTATATTGTGTTGCTTTCGGATGAAGTCGCTGTTTTAAATATCATACTGTATTTCTTTGCTTTGGACTAATCAAAGAATCTAGATAAACTTATGGATTATACTATTTAGTTAGGGGGGCATTAATGTTGCAGCTTGTTTCTATAATACGTCTAGAGGTCTAAAAAGCTTACACAAAATTGTATATGTAAACACACAGTTTTCTTCAAAATAGATAATTGTTTCTGTCACGTTAGCTACAAAGAGTACATTAGCTTAACTTATTATGTTAGATCATATGTTCTAGTATTCGATATGAAATTTCCTTAACACCTTTTTCCAAAATTATACGTTTATTTTGTTCTTTTTATGCTGAATCGAATTTCAACTTGCACTCAAATTAAATTAGGTTTTGATACTATATTAAAGTTAAATCAAAAACTAAATTTTGAATAGTGGATTGAGTCATATTATAAGTTTATTATAACAACCATTCGTCCATTCCTACGTTTAAATTGCATATATAAAAGGGTTATGTGTATTAGTTACATTGCTCCTAGATTTTAGACCTAATTTTAGTGGTTCTTTAACAGGTTGGCCATCATTCTTTATACTAGCAAGTTTGTTTATGGTCATGCCATTTGCATATTGACCATTTGATTATTTTTCTTTTTCTAATAACTAAGATAATATATTTTTAAAATATGATATAAGTTCACCTAGTTTAGTTGACAAAAAAAAAATATACCTAGTTATTATTTTTATTTTCTACTTTTTCTTAGACCATGATTGTTGTCGAACTAGATGATAAAATGAGGAGAGACCGGGGAAAAAAATTGGTGGGAAAAGATGCATTATTATAAAATCGTGGTGATGAGATATATTCATCATGATGTTTGATAATCTTTTGAAAACTTTTGCAGGCGCAATTGGTTTGTGGAAATTACACTTTTGATCAAAATCATTATCAAAGAGTACAAAAATTTCATGCTCTAATTGATGGATTTGATAAAAATAAAATCAATACTGGGTGAAAATATAGAAAATAAATAATGTCTCATGTATGAATTAAATATGTATACGTTAAAGCATAGTTAGATTGCAGAATTTTTATTTTTATTTTAGTTTTAGAATAATGTTTTATATTTTTTTTTCCTACCTTCTTTCTTCTTTTATTGTAATCACCATATTCTTATACATTCTTTTTTTTTTGGTTGAACACAACTCACTCTCTTACATTCAATCACTGTTTTACTTCTTTTTATACCTTTCACTGTTTTCTAATTTTAGATATGAGCTTCCTAAGTAATAAAAGAGAGTTATTCTTTTGTTTTGTGTTCTTGATTACTTCTACAAACTAGAGCCCATATTGCTGCTCCAGTGCAATAACTGCTTAAAAAACAAATGCAGAGGGAGGAGGGGGTTAAAATTTAGGGAAACAAAACTACTTGCAAGCAATGACAAACCCACTTCGTCATTACAGTGCCTCCTCTAATTTTGATTCTAACGAAGATCAAGATTATGTTCTTGATGAAGATCAAGATTGTGTTCTTAATGAAGATCAAGGTTATGTTCTTGATGAAGATGTACCATCAGGGCCGGCGCAGAGGGCAAGCCACCGAAGCCATCGATTAGGGCCTCAAAATTTGAGGGCCTTTTTACCTAAAAATTTGTTAAGTTTTCTTATATACAATAATTTTTGTAGGGCTTTTTAAAAATATTGTGGACTTTTAGAAACAATTACAACATTTTTTAGTGGTAAAAATCTAATTTAAAAGAATTTTTTTTATGGGCTTTAATTTTGCTTAGGGCACCCAAATTTACCGGGCCGGCATTGTGTACCATCATTATTACCATACCAAGTGTCAAGCTTCCATTTGTTGAGCAGCTACCACGATCCATTACATGGGTCTTCACCAAAAGGCATGTGTTATATATTTTTGTTTCGTGCTAGTTTCAAAATATTAATCATATACAATAGTAATCACTCATAGTGCATATATATATATATATACATACATGTCTTTAACATTGCAGTAGCCAGCTGATGGCTGAAAATGATTCTGTGATTGGTAAGAGACAAATCTATTATGTAAATGGCGAGGCACTAGAATTGAGCACCGAAGAAGATGAAGAAGATGAAGAAGAAGGTGAGGAATAAACCAAGAAAGATAAATGTGAAATATGTAGACCGGTTTATATGGTTAGCTTTTGTGTTACATATGTTGTTGGTTATTAATTTGTAGTCCATATTTATTAAACTGGTCAAGAAAAAGAAGAAAAAAAAAACTGGTCAAGAAACTTTCAGGACGGTTGGGCAGGATTATGGTTTGGATGATCTATCTGGTCGTGCAGCGTGCTCACGCCAAGTTCCTCGGAGTGGATATTTCCGATATATTGGTAACAATCGAATCAAATCTCTTCATACATATCGATCAATAATCTTCCGACTTATTTTTGTTGTTTTTTGTCGTGAGAAATTAATGTTTTGAATTTTCAAATCTATGCAGGAAAGATTCAATGAGCTTAAGCTTAAGAATGATGGAACAGTTGGTGAGGCTTCTGATTTCACATCCAAGATAATAACTACTGCTTTTCAGAATTTTGCTGATAGACGTCATTGCCGTCGTTGCTTGGTAAGTTGAAATTATTATTATTACTTTTTTTTTTTTTCAAATTTAGCCAAAAAAAAAGGAAAAGATTATACATTTTTTTATTTTGATTTTAATAATTCATTTTTACAGATATTTGATTGTCATATGCATGAGAAGTATGAGCCAACCGTAAGCTTAAATTTATTTAAATAATTCTTTTGTTTCACAAGCTGTATATATAAAGCTTAATAAGTGGTTAACTTAATTAGATTGCTTTGGCTTTTCAGAGCGAAGACAAATCTAGTTTGTTTGAGGATGAAGATAGACAACCATGCACTGAGCATTGTTACCTCAAGGTCTCTCTATCTCTCTCTCTCGCAATATTTGTTTATTTATTATTTACGTTTATTAATAAATGGTTTAATATTTAATAGGTGAGGAGTGTGACAGAAGCTGATCATGCGGTGGATAATGATAACTTTATATATATCAAACAAGAATGTGGTCTCAGATCCAAACTCAACCATGTGGACGCCTGTGGAGAAGGATCTTTACTTGAAAGGAGTTGAAATCTTTAGGAGAAACAGGTAAAAAAAATTAAAAATAGGTTTCATGCATGAATATATATACTTACCACTGTATTCCTTGATTATGCCTGTTCGCACTTGTGTTATTGCAATAAACATACTTCAGGGGATTAAGACGTGCCTAGAGGTTTACAATTACATGTGTGAACATGATCAACGTACTGTGTCATTAGACCTTAACAAACCTAGAGAAAAACACAAGCAGGTAAAATGAACTATGTCGTAATTCTCATGACATATATGTTAAGAACACATTATTCAAGTTTCATATATATATATATATATATATATATATATATATTGATGGTCTCATTACAGGTTAACAAAAAAGTATCTCGAAAAAGTAGTAGGTCAGTCCGCAAAAAATCCAGACTTGGAAAATATGCTCGTTATCCGCCTGCTTTAAAGAAAACAACGAATGGAGAAGCTCAGTTTTATAAGCACTACACACCATGCACTTGCGCATCAAAATGTGGAGATCAATCCCCTTGTTTAACTAATGAAAATTGTTGCGAGAAATATTGCGGGTATGTCATTTAAAAAAAAACGTTTTTGAGGTCTAATCCATAAGTTTTTTTTTTTTTTTTGTTAAAGGTTTTCTTATATAAATAAAGAAAAGTATACAAAGAAGCAACATATAACCATTACAAGCAAAAATAAAAAGAAAACTAAAAACTAGAAATAAGAGGACGACGGATCCAAACAAAGGAAGTTTGAATAAAGGAAGGAGAAACGGTGCCTAATCTTTGTGGCAGCTTTAAGGAATCCAGCATTGTAGAATTGAGATTCCACGTTTGAAACCTAGATGAAGCATTGCGCTACACTTATTTTCCAGGGTGAAAATAATGTGCCTTGCTACTTGAACCGTCTAATCCATAAGTTTTTAATTTGAATATAAGTTTGTATTTTTTGTCAACCAGTCAGCAAGACCTAACTGCTACGCCAAGGTACCAAGCCATTATACTTTATCTTGAACATATACTAACATTAAACAAACAAAAAAATAATAATACTTATGTTCACAAATGAATATACGTCCATAAGTCTCGATTTTGGTGGGTGTCATTAGATATTTTTGTTGATGTAAATTTTTCGATTTGATCATCTGGGTTTGAATTGAATCTATGGAATTCTGAAGTTTTGCTTTTGTTCAGAGGATGAAAAGAGAAATGAACATAAAGATATTAGGAATTTTTAAAGAAGAACAAATGAATGACAAGAGAAAGAGTCCAACTTTAAAAGGTGCTCGAAAGTTATGAGGGTACATGGTCGTTATAAAGTATATTTTTTACGTTTATTGTTGTTACCGAAATACAATATACTGAGATAGTAATATTTTTAAGAGATTTTAGTTTACATCAAAAAAACTTAAATAGGATTTGGTTGCAAGGCCGATTCATATAAACAAGAGGCCCATGAAAACGAAGCCCATTCTAAAACCCTATCTAGCCCCCAATGTAAATATTATATATACGGGACGATATCCATATTTTTCTTCAATCAGGAATTTCGAAACCATAGGCGTCGTAGTCGATTCTCCGGCCAAGCCTGCTTATCTCTCAGGTAAAATTCATCGGAAACTCTCTAAACACTGCTTTTCTGATGATGTTTGATTTCCGTTCTCTGAATAGTACTTCTCTTGAAAGCTTTAGATCCCTTGTTTTGCTTCTTTTTAGCGTATTTAATCGTTTAGATCTTTTGGTTGATTCTTGAGCTAAGCCTGTACATCTGATTCTGTTCTTTCCTAGATGTGATCTCTGGGTTAGCGTATTTTTTTTCCATTTTATCCAACTGTTCTAGATTACTGCAATTTTCTTTCCTAGTTTTGAAAATTTGATTTCTTTTGGTTTGGTTTGGTTTTTAGCATCTTGAACGATGAAGAAGCCTACGAACAAGCAGGCTAAGGCTTTAACATTGGTCTTTTGGGACATCATTAGCTCTCCGGTCCCAGATGGTTGTGACCCTCGTGTGGTCCGTCCGAGTATTAAACGGCTTTTGGAGAAGGAAGGCTACTGTGGTCCTCTCACCGTCACTGCTGTTGGCAAACTAGCGGACGTCCATCCTGACACCCTGAGAGCACTCTATTCCAGTGGAATCCATCTTATCATCTCCCCCTTCGGCGGTTAGATATCTTCTCGATAAAGTGATCTAGAGAGAGAGAGAGAGAGTCTCATGTCTTTTTTTCTTTCTCAAACAGGTTTCTATGACATTGACCGTTTAATTAAGATGGATACACCCTCTAATATTATGGTCATATCCAATGAGACAGCCAGCCCTGGTTTATTTAAGTTTCTAAAATCGACTGGCTACAACCCTCTCATGCCGTTTCCATATGGTTCCCTTGACACCTTAATTATGCAAGGTGTGTGTGTGTCCTCTCGAATGTAACAAGCAACAAATGAATCTGTTGCTGATCAAAACTGCCTACTTCTTTTCTTTTTTCCCCCACAGATTCACTGGTACTTGAGGACGAAACAGAGGATTCTGCCTTGTGGCATTGCTCTGTATGCTGCCTTGATCCTCCTGCCCACGGCTTTGAAAATTTCATCACACATCTATCAACGGGAGATCATAAAGTGATGGTAATTAATCAAGTGCTTGTTTCTCACTTCTACCTGTTTTTTTTTTTTTGCCTTTGTTTTGACTTGTCCATGTTCATTTTATGTTCCAGCTGAGTGAACCTAGGAATACTGTGCCTCGTCCGCCAGTTGATCTCTCCAGGGTACCAAAATCATGTTTTCAGCTTCTTAATTTTTACTTTGTTTGCCCACCATTCTTCAAATCCTCTTACCACAAGCTTCACTTTCTCGTTTATAGTTGCATGTGACTGCTTATCTGATGGAGAGCGATATGATGAGTCGCGATCAGCCGTGGACGGACGAGCGGCCTCCACTTCCTACAGATTTATCAACAAGACTCGCTAAATTGAAAGACTTGGAGGCTGTAAAGTACGAGGGTGAGTCGTTTGTCTATTGGGACATCAAGTTGTGTCCGCTTCCCCCCTACTGTGATGCTAGTCTGGTCGGTCCGCGCATCAAACTCTTCCTGAAGAATGAAGGCTTCTCTGGTCCTCTCACCATCATTGCCATTGGCGTACTAACCGACGTCCCTATTGACATCCTGCAAAAAGTCTATTCTAGTGGCATTGCACTTCGTATCGTCCCCAACTGTTAGTATCTTCTCATCCTTGGGCCATTTTCCTTGATGATTAGCATGTTTCTCAAGTCTTTTACTTTCTGAAACAGGTCCTTCAGCCATCCGGAGCCTCATTGGTAATTGGGTTTTTAGAAATGGACCTCGACGTAATATAATGGTCATATCCAAGGACGAATTCTTCACTAATCATTGTGGCGTGCTACATTCGTCACAATATTGCAACTTTAAGCTGTTTGATTCTCTTCCTATGGCAGGTGTGTCTTTGTCCTCTCTTACAGTGTTTGTTGAAATAACCAGAGTAAATCTTCTGTTGTTCAACTCCCTACTCTTTTTTTTTCCTCAGACTCTGGAGAGTGCAGAAAAAAGTGTGTATCTCCCTTCTGGTTTTGCTCAGTATGCAACTTCCGTAATTTTCCTTGCCAAGACATTGATAGTTTCACAAACCACCTCTTTGGTAAATACCATCAACGAAAGGTAATCAGGCATCCTAGCCAAACTAGACGGGACTTATTGTTCATTTCGTAACAATTCTTTTCAGAGTCAAACAACTAGTTTTGTTTGCCTAAAATTTGACCTTAAGTTGTCTTATTTTTTTAACTGGATGTGTTCCAAGCAGTTGTTTGACCTGTTGAGAAGTGGAGATGGCTTGGATGCACCAGTACGTGAGCCTCTTGAGGAAAACCTAAAGGCTGTAACAGCGGTCTACTGGGATATCAAGACGCGCCCGGTTCCACCTGGCTGTGATCCTCATCGTGTCGGTCCGTGTATTAAACGGTTTTTGGAGAATAAAGGCTACTCTGGTCCTCTCACCATCACTGCCATGGGCGCACTAGAAGACGTCCCTAATGACATCCTGAGAGGAATCTATTCCAGTGGAATCTCTCTTAATTGTATCCCCTACGGTTAGGATCTTTTTATCATTGTGCCTTTTCTCAGTAGTGGATGTTGTTGAATACAGAGTCTCAAGTCTTTAGTTTTTCTGAAACAGGGTTTTCAATCTCTCTGGAACGTCATATTGATGAGTTCATGGATTGGAATCCACCTCCAGGTAATATAATGGTGATATCCGCTTCTAATGGTGTTCGCCGGCTACTACAGTCGAAGGGATACAACATTGTTGAGCCGGTTCCATGTGAGAGCTTTTTTCTGGCAGGTGTGTATTTGTCCCCTCTCTCTCTCTCAGTTTTGTTGAAATGATAATGAACAGCACTACTACTGGCTATGCTGCTGTTTTATTTTTTTCCACAGATTCAGAGGCACTTGAGGATGATAAGTGCAGTGAAACGATTGAATACTTGCACTTGTATTGCTGGGTATGCTGCCGTTATGTTGACAACTTAAAAAATTTCACCACTCATCTTGCTAGTAACCGACATCAACGCAAGGTAATCAAAGCATCCTAGGCAAACCGGACGGATTTGTTGTGATTAATACATTTTGTCATTTTTTGCCTTATTTTTAACCCCCTTCCTCCCTCTGCATTTGTTTTTTAAGCAGTTATTGCACTGGTCCCGGTCATGCCCACTCCTTCCCATTTTGACAAAGGCAAGTTATAAAATCTGATAACCTTTGAGATTTCTAGTATTAAGGATTCTGTAAAGTCCAAGGGTGAGTCGTTTGTCTATTGGGACATCAAGTTCTGTCCAGTTCCCCCAGTAAGATGTCAAGAATGACATTTAAGGCATATGACATATAACTGCTTTTTGTATCACATTGGCAGGAGACTGATAGCGTCAAGGAAATTGCCGCCGAAGAAGCGCCAGAGGTGATGGCTTCGAGTGGTAGAACCGCTTGTGTCGGAGATGAAGAAGAATGTTGGAGAATAATGTTGGAGAAGAATCTTGGAGAAGCTTTAAGCGAGAAGTTATTTTGACGAAATTATTACAAAGAAAAACCTTGCATGGCCTTTTTTTCTTGAGATTTTTAAGGATTGTGCCATGGTCTGCTCTTTTGTTTTTTCTCAGTGACATTAAAAAAAACTTGTCCTCTCATCATTGTCTGTTTCAAGAAACATGTCAGAATTTCTGTCTTAAAAGTTCCAATGCTTGGGGCAGCCATGACAACACACAAGAAAGAATGCAAATAAAGAGAAGATACATGATAAATTTGTTCTAATTGATGCTCTAATTGATGGATTTGATAAAAATAAAATCAATACTGAGTGAAAATATAGAAAATAAATAATGTATCATGTATGAATTAAATATGTATACGTTAAAGCATAGTTAGATTGCAGAATTTTTATTTTTATTTTAGTTTTAGAATAATGTTTTATATTTTTTTTTCCTACCTTCTTTCTTCTTTTATTGTAATCACCATATTCTTATACATTCTCTTTTTTTTTTGGTTGAACACAACTCACTCTCTTACATTCAATCACTGTTTTACTTCTTTTTATACCTTTCACTGTTTTCTAATTTTAGCATATGAGCTTCTTTTCTATTAAACAATGTAAAATAAGAAGAACATTTTGTAATTAAAAAAAAAAAGGAAAAAGACCAGAAGAACACAAAAATAAATGATTTCAACACAACATTAATAAATGAAATTTTGTTTACTATTTATTTGATTTATTCATCCACCCCAAAAAAAAAATTGTCCAAAAAAATAAAGTTAATATAAAAATCAATAAAATAAAGATCACACAAAGCTCAAATCATCAGCGGAATATGTGCGTTGCACACGTCCGGCCCCACCTTTCTTGGTAGATCCTTGAGAGGCCATTTGACCACCACCACCACCGCATACGAAACTGCATTCCACGCCGCAAATCTTACTAAAACACGAGAAAAGTCCATTACCTCCATCTGTGTGACGGCGGTTATGCTTTTTTGCCGTCGGAGTTTTCCGTCTTGAACTCATTCCTCCCCCGGCAGTTGCGGCGGGAACACTTGCACCATCGTAATTGCTGCTACTTATGTGGCTTGATCCTATGTCGTATAATGGTGGAAGCTCTGTTCGCCATCTCTCGAGTTTTGAACGCAATCCTTCGATGCTAGATTCATCGATGCTCCATTCGCTGAGTATTGAACTTTCTGTTTCGTGCGATCTATCTTTTGCCAATTTGTCAGCCACTTCAGATGGCGATGGACCTAACTCCGATTCAGTTAGGATTCGTCTTCCAGCTAAATTCCTCACTGGTGTACCAAAATCGTGATGAGTTCTCATCGGTGTAGCCATATAGTTTGAACGGATCGGGGTAGATCCGACGATGTTTGATCTCCTCGGAGTCGAACCAACCATGTTGGACCGCATTGGTGACATTGCGATGATGTTGGATCTCATAGGAGTAGATGCGATGATGTTCGATCTCAACGGTGTTCCATGCCTCGATAAGTATGGTGAAGCTCGGCCACGATCGTAATCTTTCACTGATCTTTGTTTCTCGTACATTGTCTTCTTTCTTGGTGTCTTACGTGATTGATGATACGAGTTATACGGCATAACATCGTGCCTCTCTTTTCTCTGCATCACCACATGGGGTTTCTCCATTGGCGACGAATCTATGAGATCTGAATCAATCGAATTGTATCGTTGCCTTGGAACCTTAGGGTTTTTACTAGGAGGTATGTACTCATTCATTTTTTTCTCATCAGAATCCGTCGTGGTGGGTAGAGTTTCAGAGTCACTGCTTACTAATGCACTCGCCGGTTTTCTGTTAGCTAAACGACTTCGTTCAGCTCTACTAAGAAGATCTGAAACAACCATAGAACTTGAATCGCTCTTCGTACGACGGAGCTCAGGTCTTGAGATTACGGATTGGTATTGTCGAGAAGACGGAGATTGTGGATTCTTTGAGCTGCCTTTGTTGCTATTTAAATGCAAATGTTGTAGATGATGATCTTCTTCTCCGAGCAAATCTCTATATCCCACAGCAGATGAATCCATATGCGTATAAAGCGGCATACTCCGCATAGAACCATCAATTAATCCAACACCAATGTTCAAAATCCCTTGAGGTCGACCAGAAGTACGACGAACCTGAAGTGCGACAAATCTCATTCCTGGAGGTGGGGTGCGACGATATTCATTGTTGCTGGTTCTGTATCCTGGACGACGATTAGGGGGAATGAGATTGCTGATGAGGACGCGAACTGTTCCTACATGAACATCTCGGAACCAATGCAAGGCGTAAATTTCAATAACCACAGCTGAAGTATCGGCGTAGAGAAATTCTTCGTTGACTCTGAATACGAATTTGTCGTTCCATGTTGGGTTCGTTCCACCATTATAGTCGACACGGGTGGTAAGTTTACGCTCGGAATGAACCCAAGCGACAGCATAAGTCTTTGTTTTGCGAGCGACAGGAGCCAAGTCCTGAGCTGAGATTATGTTCAGCTCTAGCAACTGAAATGATGGGAACAACATCGACATTGTGGATCAATATATTGATTTTACATTAAAAAAATTTCTTGGATTGGAGGGATTGGAGAATTGCGAGAGGGAGAATGAGATCTCTCTCGCAATTCTCAATTCACAATTCTGAAAAGTGGGTGATGAATGAAAAAGAGGATTGTTTGATTGGTGGTGACAAATTCCGAAAGAGCGGAAGAAAGGTAATAATAACCATTTTGCTAAATTTGGTTTTGTGTATGTGAGAAAAACAACGAGTTTATTAGGAGTAGTGTGTTGTTCTTCAGCAGAAATTTACTATTTTAGGAGACATTCGTGAGGATCAAGTTGGCGTTGGCGAAGAACTCATTCCAATTTCACCTCAAGTATGTGTCTTTTTTATTACTGAATTGTTGTCTGGTTTTGCTGAAATAAGGTGATAAATCATTGATTTTTTCAATATCATTAACATTTAGACTTTTTGGGTTTGAGTTTAAGCAAGTAAAACTTGTTAGTTCTGTCTTAAAATAGTTTATGATCTTTTATAATTACAATACGTTTTTTATTTGTCTTCTCAATATATAACATCTAGCCTCCGGAAACATTTTCTTAATTTGCTTGTTCAAATAAATTGCTAGAATGGAATTTCAAAACCAAACCATAGTCCAAAATGAACTAAACTAAACTGATTTTTTTTTGTGTGGCTTTGCCTCTGCCTTAAGACCATACAGAGTGGTGTATGTTTTGGTGGGGTGTGAGTATTATTAAAAAGGAAAATAATAGAATAGTATAACACATGGGTGTGAGATAACACTTGGGTGTGAGTATTATTTTAATGTTTTATGTTTCATCTATCTCTTTCTCTCTCCTCTCTCTTTCTCCACTAACCAAATATCTCTCTCTTAAAAAATTATAATAAATGTATTGTTAACACACACCCACCCACATGCACAATTGTGGGTGCTCTAAGAACATGTTACACATCCTTGTCACATTTATTATGGGCATCTTTTTATTTGTATGGACCAATTAATTTGACAATTTGTCCTCTTTTTCTATTATTGACTTGCCCAGTCTAGACTCAAAAACCTCAGTTCATGTGGACCTTATTGTCCGCCCAAAGGAAAGGTCAAACTCATGTGGATATCCCTTCTTTCTTTATTTTATTCACGAGACGCACAAATTTTTGTTCCTTCGAAATCTATACCCAAACTAATTTTTGGAGTATGTAAGTACATAAATACTTGATCGAAATTGAAATGTTGATATACGTTAAAATAACTGTATGTTATTTAATACCTTTCGTTAATATCCAAGTATAAAACCGAGACTAATTGATGATTTCTTGAATGAAAGAACAGTCTAGTTCTGCTTCGGAGTGATGGGTCAAATAGATAAAAAAATAAAGTTAAGGAAAAATTGTAAACAAGATAATACTATAAGGGTCATTTGCAGAGGTTTTGGCGTTTTGCGTTTCCCAGGAAATCTAACAGAACCCCACTTATCTTGTTTCTCTAACCGGATCGGTCACCTAAGAACCTCAAAATCATTCTTCGTTCGGTCGTTGTCTTGGGGTCCTCCGAATCAAAACCCACAAATAACACTCGAGGAATCTGTGAACGACGACCCTATTGAACCTAAAGTTGAAGACTTTGAACGGATTTAGAAAGAAAAACACAAAAAGATGCTGAAGAGCGAGGCATCTCTCTCGAGTTACTGCGATTCCGGAGATGGGTTCAAATCCGAAGATCCGTTGACTGGAATCGAGGAGAATTTGGAGAGAACCGTTACGATTGGTGATTCTATTGACGGCGGCGGGTTCAGTTTTGCGAAACACAAGGAAGAAGATAGTAGTGAAGGTGAGAGAGGTGTTTTGGATAGAGATTATGAAGAGGTTATTAAGAAGCTAGGGATTGGTAAGAGAGATGAACAAGGTTTTGAGATTGAAAGACCACCAAGTCCTCCTATGCATTTAGCTGCAGGGTTAGGTATTGATAAGTTTGATTTGTATGGTAATGAGACGAAATTCGACTTACCGGGTTTCGATGATGAGAATTGTGGTGATTACTACAAAGGAATGCTCGAGGAGTATCCATTGCATCCTTTGCTTCTCAAAAACTATGCCAAGTTCTTGGAGGTATTGAAATCATTATGTTGTGTAATGACTCTGTTTTGAAGTACCTAGTTGCTATTAATGTCTAAGTTTTGTTTGTTAATCTGAGAACAGTATAAAGGAGATCTTACTGGAGCAGAAGAGTATTATCATAAGTGTACTGTAGTGGAGCCTTGTGATGGAGTAGCTTTAGCAAACTATGGTAGATTAGTAATGAAGCTTCACCAAGATGAAGCTAAAGCCATGAGCTACTTTGAACGTGCAGTTCAAGCTTCTCCTGAGGATAGGTTTGTTGGAACAATTTTGGTTATACCACCATTGGTTGTTATTCTGTGGTAATAATATGTTCTTTTCTTTTCAGCAATGTTCTTGGAGCATATGCTAGTTTCCTCTGGGAGATAAACGTGGATGATGACGATGAGGATGATGATGATGATGAGTCTTCTGGGAAAGGAAAAGAAGAATTTGAGGTGGGTTTTGTTTCGTAGCTCTATAGATTATATGGTTTTCAGTCTGCGGATCAATGACTAGAATTTTCACCTGTTATGTTCCATCTCACATTGAATCTTGTAGACATCTTAGCTCATAGTAGACATTTACTTGCAAATAAATTAAAGTTTGTATCCTGCCTGGTGTTGTTGTGCATTGGATTTTAAATTTATGTCCATAACGTTGGGTTTTGTTTTTGTACCCGAAAAAGCCTGATGCAGTGGAGAAAAGCAACTCGAGCTTGTCCAAGACAGAAGATGGAGAAACGCTATGCAGATACGCGAAAGCGTTCTGGAGTATAAATAATGATCACGAGAAGGCCTTGTTCTACTTTGAGAAGGCCGTTGAAGCCTCTCCAAATGACAGGTTTAACTTACAAAACCTTCTTTTTGTTTTCACAATTGAAAACTGAAATGTGATCATTAGCTTCTGTGTTTTTGCCAGCATTATCCTTGGAGAGTATGCTCGGTTTTTATGGGAAATAGAAGAATGATCATCAAGAAGAAAAAGAAGATGTCTATAGCTGAGGTAAACTATAAGCTTCAGAAGCTCTTCATGAAAAAAGCTCTTATTGTATTAGCTCTAAAGCTTCATCCATGTCCGTTATGTGTTGTGATATTATGACAGAATACGTTTTTTTTTATGTCTCTCGCAGAATAAACCTTAATTTTCCAACTATGTAATATATATGCTTAATGATTCACTCGGACCCACGTTATCTCACAGAGTTTAGTAGGAATTTTGCACTTATATACTTAATGAAATAGAGACTATATTATACTACTTATCAATTTCCTTCTTATGGGTAGACCGTATTTATTGAAAGGATCAAAGCATTAGTAAATTGACAACATTTATATTAATGGAAAATTACTTAAGTGGTCAATTAAGATAGTGTAAAAAGTAATAAGTAACAAATTTCAATGGTAGTGTATGATGATTTGGTCAGTTGGAATAGTTAGTGTAATCGATTGAGAAAAACAAAATTCTTTTTTGTTCACATTTTTCCATCCACCAGAAGAAATTCCTACCTCCCAATAATCTGAACTAATACAAAGAAAATATAATATAATAACAATTTTTTTATGGAAGTTTAAAAGTTTGGACTTGGGAATTAATAGCCTCAAAGAAATAAAAATTAAACTTGTGCCTCTCTTATGAGGGATTGGACTCCTTTTGTTCTCTTCCCCTCCAACTTTCAATAGTCTGCCAAAATAGATATCATTGTAAATGAGTAATAACAATTCCAAATAATCTTCCCTTTACTATATTCTACATCACATGTGCATGTGTTTTGTATACTATATGCATGTACCTTACACGTATGTAATTGAAAAGATGCTTATGTATGTAAGTATATAGGTGAAGAAAATGGTACCGTCATGTTTCTTCCTCATCAAGTTTTTGGCAAAAAGCAAGCAAATGACAAGAAAGCCAACACCAGCTGCTCCTCCTACTATTATTGCCACCGTCTTCCCTGTTGCTCCTGTCCACATTTTCATTTCTTTTTGGCATCAATATTAATTTCAATTGTACAATGTTCATGACCCCATTAATGATATATAAACAAAATACATCTATTTTTTCCGAGGGTACTCAAAGAATTTTTGAAGAAAATTATTAGTGGTAGACCATTTCTCTGAAGAGCACTTTTCAATGAATAACACTTCGTTAAATAATTCATTTGTTCTTCCTATGGGTGGAAAAATATTTAATGAAAGCATAATAAATAAAGTATTATTAATTGAACAACCTATAGGGAATATTGAGAATTCCAAGGAATAATTGTTACCAATTAAAAGAAAAAGTACACAATTCTTTTTTTTTTTTTCCGTTAAAAAAATGTAATTTTTGAGACTGAAAACGGAAGAACAAAGTCCCACTCAGAAATCTTCAAATTAAAGTGACGATCCTTAGTTTAAAATCGGAAACTTTCCAAATTGAGAAAAGATTGATGCTTTTTTTTGGTAAATGACCCAATTATAGTAAACCCAGAAATCAAAAACTAACCTGTAGAAGACGAAGGATCTGAATTTGAAGAGCCCGAGCTAGAGGAAGAAGACGAAGATGAAGAAGAAGAAGATCTTCTGGGGACACCATTTGGGTAATAACTATAAGCGATGAAACACTTATGGAGGTAAATCTGACCGGAGATTGAGCTTCCACATTCCACCTGAGCTTTCTCGAGTGCGTTCTTTATGCATCCGCTGCAATCGGTGTCTCCGACATCGCCTTCGCATTGTCCTAAAACGTAGACAGATTCGTACGTAGTAGCGTAGAATCCATGACCTGATACTACGCCGTTTTGCATCACCCCAAACGCCGTATCTCTTCTCTCTTCGAACCCTGTTCCGGCGATGTTGCTCTTCCCGCAAGTCTTGAACAACATCTCCATCCCTGCATAATTATATAAACCGGAAATTCGATATTAGAGAAACCAAACCGGTTTAAAGATAAAAAAACCTAAATTGAAACATCCTACTTCACATCTGGCCAAGGGTGTTGAATGAACCAATTCATTTCAAACCAAACCGGAAAACTCTGGTGAAAAATACATGAACTTTTGGGGTTCAGCTAAACCAAAACCAAAAATCAAATTACCGGTTCGATTAAACCAGAGAAATGCTGATTGTCATCTCAAGTGGCGGTTTGATGGTTAGTCTGGTTAAGGTTAAAATCGACGAACCCGAGGAATTGAATTTCCGGTTTGATTGAAGAAGAAGAAGAAAGGGTTACCTGAAATTTGAGAAAAGCCAGCAACTTCATAGAGAAGATAACAGCCGGAAAGTTGAACTCTTGAAGCAATGGTTTTGCCACAGAGCTTGTCGGAGAGAACAGGAAGACGACTAACACAGTTGTAACAGTCATGGTTGCTTAAATCTCCTCTGCACTGGAACAGACCAGTGATTGTAGTTGTGCTTGTTCCTGTTGTGGTCTTGTAGAATCTGGTTTTAGTAGACTGCGAGACCAATGAGCCGAACATAGCAGAGAGAGCTTGTGAGTATAAACCAGATGGATCTGAGAATTGCTGTCTTGCACATCCTTTGTAGATTAAGGTTGTGTATTCCGTTGTTGCAGATTCTACTACGACATTGAGATCTGCAAACAGCAGAGACATCATCAAGATGATGTTGAGGAATGAGATTGAAAGACCCATTTTTTTCTGTGTGGATTATTTTGGTGGTTTGCTTTTGAGGTTTGTTGGAAGAAAGATTGGGGGAAAAATCAAAGCATTGGCTTTCTCATTGTAGAGATATTGAAAGATGGAATCTTTGTGGGAGTTTTTTGGTCTTATGGGTTTTTGAGTTTGTGTAATTGGTTGCTTGGTGGCTCAGTAAAGCTTTAATTTTTGTGTCTGTCTTCTAGGTTTCTGGGTTCTTTGTTTTTTTGGCTTTGGCTTTTGATGACCATGTGAGAGGAGATTAGGGGAGAGAGAGTCTCTTTTTCCTTTTAACGCTTCTGAGCCATTCAGTTCTGAAACTGTACAATGTTTGATTTACTGCAGCAACTATAATAAATACTAATTTAGAGTTATTGATTGAAATCTTCAATAACAGTTTATTTATTGCTTAGCATCCTTTTTACCACCTACCTACTAGTGACCTTTGAATCTAATTCAAAGTAAGTTTATCTCTAATCTAGTTTAAAGTCATTTCAGTGACTTACTTTGTGTAACATTCTGGTTTTAGTAGTTGGTTACTTTGGAAATTGGGTTTAGAGAAAGATACAAACTTTCTTGCACTTGATTGTTGATACCAAAAACATGTTTACAAAATTTAACTAATAACGGGATTACTAAAGATGAGCTATAAATAGAAAATTAAAAAGGCCAGAGAGAGAGAGTTAGTGAAAAGGAATCTGAGATTGGTGGGGAAATGGGAAGATTGTGAAGTGTGTTTTTTGACCACAGTACAGTCAAAATCTCTGTCTGTCTCAGGGTTTTCTAATTTCTATGACCATCTTCACAATTATTTTGTCTTCATTTCATTGTCTTTAAGACTCCCTAGCCCAAAAATAGGAATTTTTACTCTTTAATTATCAACGTCTATGTACATACACACAAGTGTTTAATTCTTACCGTTTAGGTTTCAACTGATTTGCTGATGATAATGATCAATCATATACATATGTATTTAGTTTTTATAGTATCTAGTGAGCAGCTAACTTTCTCTGAAACATGAAAAGCTTTATGTTGACACTTTCAGATCAAAGAGAGAGATTAATTGCAGATTCTTAAGGTACGATGATGTTACACGAAATTGTAGATTGAGAAAGAAAGGGAGAGCTCAGGTGTGTATATGCGACTGTGAAAGGGCCATCAAAAAAATACCAAACAGAACTGTAAAGATACAACAAAAATCGAGATAATTGAGAATTTAGCTACTCTTGATGATGGGACTTGAGGAATCTCTTCATGAATCTTGTGCAGAATCTTCAGTATCGTCATCGCCGGGTAAACCAAATATCCTGAGATTACGGTCCATTGAACCGACTGCTATGTATTTGGAGTCAAGTCCAAACTTAACACATGTTGCTTTACCTGCATATTCATGGATTTACAATGTCTGCATAATAGACTCAAAAAAGAAGGAAGAACACTGACTTCAAAAGCTTAATCATATAGCATTTACCTGCACCGGACAGATCGGGAAGAGTCTTGATTGGGTTCCATTCTGCTTTTACACTAGCTGTTTGGAATACTCTACACCATTGAAACAAACAAGTTTTTGATTATTATGATCTGCAAAAGAAACATATGCACATATACCCAAGTTGCATTTCTGGTGATAGCAGGTTATTTGAGTTTGCACAACTATCTTTCAATATCTCGTTATCAAAGTCGGCTCCTATATATATAAATTCCCAACATTGTGTGTATCAAAGTAGACCTCACCTTATATCTGAAGCAGCAATGCCAAGATAAGATCCACTATGGTCGAACTCCACTGCACACAAAAAATTCATTCAGGTCTTAAGAAATGAAAAACCAATCAACAATATAGACTAGTAACAGTGCTCAGGTAGTTGAATACCCGAGTTTGCATCTGGAAATTCAAAAGTTCGGAAGTTCTTTAACTTGCGCAAGTCCCACAACCTAACACCATCCTGTGCAGCAGTCTGTACAATTTCAAGAATAGTAAATATTGGTCAGTCAAAAAGAAACTCGTGCTATCCTTCTTTCTACTTAGTTGAGGTCAAAGTACCCACCGCAAGGAAATAACCGTTTTCAGAGAATGATATAGAGGTGATTTCTCCAGTGTGTCCGCCAAACTTTGCCACATTTGCCTATCAAACGAAAGAGATAGATGAAAGTGAAGTGAGAACAAGCTTACAAGTGACAACAGTTGATGATCAAGGGAGGTCAAAGAGTTTTTACCTGACTTTTTACATCCCAAATCTTAACAATAGATTGAGCAGTACCAGTTCCAAGAATGAGACCGTCGGGATGAAAAGCGGCAGCCGTGTAATCCACATTTTCGGAAGCATCTGTCACCTGAATAACAACAACAATAGTGAGAAAGACGCATGGAAGAAACATTTATGCTAGCAAGTCTAATTTATATTACCAATAAAGGAGGTAAATGTTTCATTGTTATATTAGCATAAAAAAAGAAATCTGAAACTGGAAAACAAGTATCAGTAGTTGCTTGTGGATGAAAATTATGGAGACCTGGGCAAGGCATAAACCGGAAGACAGATCATAGAAGCACCATGTACTGTCAAGAGATGCTGACACAAAGTATTTATTCGTTGCGTGGACAGTTACAGCTCGCACCTGAAAACCACATCATTGCTTTTACGTTAAACAGAACAAATATAAGTAACAGGTAAAACTGTATGAGATTGTAGCTTGTAGAAGTTCTTCAGTTACATCCTTACCTCTGCAGAGTGATCTTTCAATGTATGTCTACAGGTATAGTTCCCATCCTCGGAACTTCCCCAGATGCGGACTGTCTACAGAGTGTCAAAACATCAAACTAATCAATCCATTATGTAAGTCAACTGATTTTGCGGCTGTTAAATGACAAAATCTCTTCACTTACTACTCCTTAAAATCATGCAATTCTCAAAGGATAAGAGAAACTCCTACAATATATGATGTACAAGTTCTACACATAAATAATGTAAAACCGTAGGAGCTTGTACACATAATCTTGACTTACCTTGTCTGATGAAGCAGTTAACACAAGATCAGTGTCACCAACAAACTTAATGCTTGTAACCTGCAAAAGGAACAATGCATGTCAAGCACAAAACTACAAAGGAAAAGTTAAAAAAAAAGAAAAGTAAAAAGACTACGGCTCAAGACAGACCTTCTTTGAGTGACCAGTCAGCGTTGATAAGATTTGTCCTGAAGGACGATCAAAGAGAACGGCAGTTGTATCAATTCCCCCTGTAGCGATGACATCCTGATTACCACATATAAAAGGAAATTAAGAATAATACTTAATAGAGAACAGACACAGGAACCTCCGCATAGAAAAGGTATTGAATAATAAATAAATAAATGCAATGAATCAATACAAAAGAAGCACTGTTCAGCATGAATTAATAGAGGCTCATAGTATAATTTTTACGCTTAAAAAAAAATTCCCTAGAATTATATTGATAAGCATCCAAATGGGGATTCATGGCAGTGTACAAATTAATGTAAGCGCAAAAGTAAACATGTAACTATGACATTCAATGCAGTGACTTCCCAGAACAGAGAAAAGCTACATAAAGTGATGAATGGAATATAGAGAAGTTCCAGGTGTCAAACCTTAGAATGTAGGATGTCCATTGAAAAAATACCAGGTTTGTTGGTCTTGTGAAGTGGGTGGCTTGAGAGTTGGGTGAACTTCTCCAGAGCATCAATTGAAGCCAATGTTTTAGGGATCTAGAGAACAAATGAGGATAAATTATTAAGACAGAAGAACCACACGCAATACCAATTGAACTCCAAAAGTGCAGATATCAATTGTCTGGTACAGACAACTATATATTTAGCAACATGCACTGATAGATGCTAGCTGTATGTGTTACCTGTCTCTTTTGCCTTTTATTTTCTAACTAATATACTGATAGATACGAAGTTATATGTGTTACCTGTCTCTTTTTACGTTGCTGAGAAAGAGCAGCATTACAATCCGTCAGTTCTGTGATAACTTCAGCCGAAATTCCAAGACGCATTTTCTTTGCATCGGGCCCCTGCTCACCATCATCGATACCTATATTGCAACAATAAAACATAGTAGCTTGTTATAAGAGAATTTACCACATAGCCAACTTACTTTGAGAAGCAAACGTGCAAGCATACCTCGTTTACCGTTACTAAGAGCAGCATTCGATGTGGCAACTTCGGGCGCTGCAGGTAACTGCCTTTCAGCCTCTGCAAGCAATTGTCGTGATTCGTCTCTTTCTTTTTTAAGCCTAGCAATCACACGACAAGCAGCATCATGCTGCAAACAGAAGGAAAAGTTTACCCCCAAAAATCCATCAATCACCTTTATCACTAGCAATCAATGGAAACATACAGGAAAAGAAAACTAGAATACATAATAGATATTTGTAATTCATGTAGTCTGAAAAGGTGGTGGCACATGCACCTAACCATAATTACCTGATACAAAGCATGACTTAGCTCTTGCCTCGCAGTATGCAGTTGTTGTTCCAGTGCAAAATTTGATAGCATCAAACTGTCCCATTCCTACAAGCACAACAAATAGATAAACTTTTTAAGCATTTATTTCGCCTAAGTCAATAACCGGTGAACATTTTTGTCTTGCTATCAGTAACAAATGAACATATAATTCAATGTAAAGAGTAGATTGCAATCTGCTATGTCAAATAACTCAATTAGCGATGTAGACCCAAATCAAGTTCATAGATCCAGATGATCCTTAATAGACAGAGGGAAATTTTCAGAGTAAACTTTCCAACAAGAAAAGCAAGCTCAAAGCAAAAAAAAAAACTTACAGTTTGGAACGTTCCAAGCAATCCAGGGATGCTAGCTGTGTGTAATGGTTTTGGCTTTACGATCTGCAAAATGGTCCCGGATAGTGAATCAGGCTTTAATAAGTTTCTACAAAAAGTGCTCTGTGACAAATAACTCCAGCAGTTGCATTACCTTCCCAGTTTTGATGGGAACAATGTCATCAAGAGTATGTGGTTCACCAGTAACCGGGCATTTCCCATAATCCTACAAGGTACCAAAAGCAATCTATAAATTATCAAGGACGCATACACAACAAAGCTTTTATCTTTGAAACCGGAAATGCATTATCAAATTTTAACTACTGTCCATAATATCAAAAGGATTTTTACTAGTTGATATAAAACCAGATGCATTGACAAATCTGGAAAACTTTGAGCTTTTACACTAGCTGAAAAACCCTAGATAGGAGTCGAACGAACGGAGAAAAGCAAAGAGCTAACTTACCGATATATGCCTCTCGATTAGCCGCTTCTCGTAGAGCAAACCCGACTTCTTAGAAACCACAGGATCCTCCGGAACTTCGCCGGAAACTGTAGAGGAGAAAAGACCACAGTGTTAAGAACAGAAACAAAGCAAAAATAAAACCCTAAATCGGCAAATAAAGAAGAAAAAGTGCCTTACTTGCACAATTCATCTTCGAAGTATAAACGAAGAAGAAGAAGTATACGCAACACTAGAAGATTAATCGGCGAATCCTTAAAGAGACTGGGCTAGGGTTTAAACTACTCCGGTCCGGCGCTACTAAACAAAATCGCAGAAGCCGGGAGGACGATGAAGACGGAGAGAGAGAGAGAGAGAGATGCACAAATTGTTTAAGCTTAGGACAAATTGGGCCTTTTACGAGGACATGATTTATGCGTAATTGGGCTTTTCATGAAGCCCATTAGTACACGGATGTATTAACTTTTTGTTGTCATTCTTTTTTTCCTTTTTCTGTTTAAAGATTCTTTTAAAGTATAAGGTAGGACGACGATGTAGGGACCATTCTATTTGCACAAACGATAGATGTTTTCTTTGTGAACAAACAAATATTCGTAGCCGAAAAGTAGAATTCTCAAAAACTAAGATCATCCTTATTGGAAGGTGCTTAACTTGGTTCTTAGTTTAAAAGAAATTAAAATTGAAAGTTTAATTGATGATTTTGCAAAACAATGACTCTTACCTAAAAGTCGAAAATTGGGATAAAAACCAAAAAAATTACTAAGAACCAAAACTAAAGACCTCCCAACAATGTTGCTCTAACATATATAGCCCGAAAAAGGAACCTTTTATGAACAAATCATTTGGTCATATGAAAGTTACTTAGCAGACACCAATCAACAAAATTAATCAATATGTTTTACTACACTGATATTACTTAGCAGATCTTCGATTTATATAATCCTGTTACAAATAATATATTTGTGAAAGCTCTGCAAAACGTAAATCATCTCTTTTGGAAAATGCGTGTGCAAGTACTGCACTGAAAGCTTTTTGCCGAAGATGCTCTCTCATATATATCTCGCAAGTATCGATTCATCAAATCAGCTTTGATCTCAAGCTGTTTTCTTTTTCTTTTTTGCCAACAAGTTGCTATTTTTTTCTTTCTCTTCATTCTTTTCTCATCATTAATGATTTCTTGCAACCTTATTAATCTCCAATTCTTGAATCGTATGACCATGTTTATTTTATAACAGAGATATAATAACTAAACGAAACAAAACAAAAAAAAAAAAAAAAAAAAGCAAAAATCAAATGCCTGAGTGGTGATATAACTTATAGTGTATGTCCCAACCAGGACCAAAACAAATAAACTAAATCAGCTAGAGGAGAACGCAAAGAAATCGCCGTAATTATAAGAGTAAACTACTGCGTAATAGTCCATTGAAAGTAAGTTTTCTGAAGTTTTGAAGCTAAGTGAGGGACTATTTTGAACTTATCTGAGTAATAGTCAAAAATTGTAGTATCATTTATAGTTTTGAGAAATATATAATCTATAAATCACATTGGTGACCTTTTATTTACGTTATCTAATTAAGTCGATATATATTCAGATCTTTAAATGCATCTTTTCTTTTGCTGTACTCAGTTCATTATTTGGTTATGGTTGTTGTAAGAAAAACAACAATATAAGAAAACGACAACTCGAAGCATGGTGTGCTAAAACTTTTTTTTGGTGAGTGCATGGTGTGCTAAAACTAGCACTGTCACAGAATTTTTATCCAGAGCAAACCATTTTCATATGGAATTTTTAGTTTCCGAATTTAACTAAGCATCACGTAACATTTTTTCTTTTCCTCGAAATTTTCATTAAATTTGACTTTGTACAATCTTTATCTCTTTCTTTTCCAATTTTTCACTGACATTGTGTCATGGTCTCTTTTTTCTCCTTTTGTTTTTTTTTTCCACTTCTTACCAGCATTTAAAAAAACAGCCAAGTAAATAAATAGAAAATGAAAAAATAATATGGCTAAAAATAAAATAGAAAAGCCAAATTCTATAAATAGAAGGCTTAATTTAGCACAACTTTCAGTCAGAAAGTCAAAAATCATCACGACAAAAGAATTGGGTCAAACTCCTTTACCGGTCAACCAAGTCATCACTTAGGTGGGACCATTGTCTCCACGTGAACTCAATTCTTCCAATTGTTACACGCCACGTCACGAGAATAAGAAACTCCAGGACCAGCGCGTTTAACGTCAATTGCCACGCTGGCATTTTTCTTATTACATTTTGCATACATACACATATAGATACACATTTAAGCCAGAAGTATAAATAAAATGGTTACGATAACTTCCATAACCTTCAATTAGTTTCTCCAGAAAGCTGTAAGAAATTTCTTTTCTTCTCTGTCTTTTAAACAGATTTTTCTGTTCTTTTGTTCCAGTATTTTAATTCTTTGGATTTTCTTGTTCAGACATCACTAGCTCCTCTCACATTCAAGAAGCCTCCTCCAATAATTTTCCCTTTTCCTGGGGAATTTTCTCTCTCGATTCTTTCCCGGAATATCTTTCACAATTTGGAGACCATAACGAACACATAAACATGTCGCAGGACGTAATTTCGTCTCATGAGCAGCTCTCTATGGTACGTAACAATCCGTGCAATGTTAATTGTTTGTCCTTGAATCTGTTTTAATTAAGCCCTTGCATAGTTTCTCTTCTTTGTGTTTCCTCTTTTATGTCATACATTGCTTAAATGATTAAAAAGCATGTACTTTTTTCCTGAAATTTTTCTAAATTTTAACTATAAATATTTGTTCGAAGGGAATAAAATTATTTAATTAAGCTCAATATGTTTTGTTGGTAACATCGTTTTCTTAATTTTCTGAGTTATTCGATTTTATCTTTTGTCAAATTGCTTAATTCTTGTTTACTTTCTTTTCTGTTTCTGGTTATTCTATATTCAATTCAGTTCATATTCCAAAAGTCTCAAACGATAATTAGTAAAGCAAACTTTTTAGTGCTAACTCTTTTGTACGGTGTTCATACGTACCTTATAAGTTATAGCTAGCCAACCACAAATCGTCACAACTCACGAGACATAGATAGAATAGAACAGTTTATCAGAATTCAAAAGATGCTACATCTCTTCTTTCAGTAATTCCAGTAATTAAAATATGAACTTTTATTTATATTTTAAATATATAATAACAAGAATTTTTATTAGAAATATATTATTAGTGTATCAAAAACAATGATTCTTGCTCTTATTTGCTGTTAAAAAATCAGATGTTGGGTCTAATTAGGCAATGATTTGGTTCTAAAGAAACACAAGAATCCAAAAAGTTTCCTGTTATGGAAACTCTCCCTCCTTATCGTTAATTTCTTCTCTAGATTCCCTCTTGATCAAAACCACATAGAACGAACAAGATCTGGTCGTATAAGTGTACACTTTTCTATAAACGACTGTCTTAAGTTAAAAACTAATTATCTTTAGGTCATCTGAGTTATTGTTTCTTGTTTCACAAGAAAATCCTACCAAGTAGCTTCTTATGCAAGTCTTCAACGTATGCCAAAAAAAAAATTGCACGTATATTTATTTAATTACATCTTTTTTTCAGCAAATTCGATAATATACTGTTGTTGTTATTTTGTAGGATGAGATCACAAGCCCTCTCACCGCACAAATCTTCGATTTTTGCGATTCACAGTTATTTCAAGAAACCTTCAATCAAACTTCTGAAGTGACCTCTGCTTCAAACGGTTGTGGCTATGTCGAAAACAACAACACCAACAACTTTCCAGACAAATCCAACAGTGGTTCGAATCAGGATCGTGATGATAACAACGACAACGCGGACTTATCGATCATATTTGATTCACAAGATGATTTCGATAACGATATCACAGCTTCTATCGATTTCTCTTCATCCATCCAGTTCCCAGTCTCCGATCAACTCCAAGAGCAGTTTGATTTCACCGGAATTCAACTTCATCAGCCTCCGAACGCTCTCTACTCTTCCTCCTCCGGTGAACTTCTGCCTCCGCCTTTATCGGTTTTCGAAGAGGATTGTCTTTCTTCTGTCCCAAGTCACAATCTTGGCTCCATAAACCCTTCTTCTCCTTCTTGCTCTTTTTTGGGTAATACCGGTTTACCGACTTACATGACCGTAACCGGGAATATGATGAACACCGGTTTAGGATCTGGTTTTTACTCCGGGAGTATCCATCTCGGTTCTGATTTTAAACCATCACATGATCAATTGATGGAAATTCAGGCTGATAATGGTGGATTGTTCTGTCCAGATCCGATTAAACCCATCTTCAATCCAGGAGATCATCATCTCCAGGTATAAATTCCAAAACTTATGTATATAATTAAAAGGTATTACTGGCAAACAAATTGTGAAATGAAACCGGTCTGATACTAACCGGTTATGGGATTTTGTTTTTTTAATAGGGACTTGACGGTGGCGAGAACCAGAACCACATGGTGGCACAGCCGGTTCTTCCGCAGTTAGGGACGGAGATAACCGGTTTAGACGACCCGAGTTTCAACAAAGTTGGAAAACTCTCCGCGGAGCAGAGGAAAGAAAAGATTCATAGGTACATGAAGAAGAGAAACGAGAGGAATTTCAGCAAGAAAATCAAGGTCTTTGTGCTTAACCATCATAACCGGATTAAACCATATGTTATCCATATAATACCCGATATATTCAAATATTTTGGTTATATTTTTGTTGTAGTATGCATGTAGAAAGACATTGGCAGATAGTCGTCCAAGAGTTAGAGGAAGATTTGCAAAGAATGATGAATTTGGTGAACCAAATAGACAAGCTTGTTCAAGCCATCATGAAGAAGATGATGATGATGTAAGAATAATCTTGTCTTATTACAATTAGAAAAAGATTTGTTTTTGTTTCATATAATTAACCGTTTCTAAACCGGGTTTGGTTTGCAGGTGGGGGTAAAGGAAGAAGAACAATTAGTTGATTCTTCGGACATATTTTCACACATAAGTGGTGTGAACTCTTTCAAATGCAATTATCCAATTCAGTCTTGGATTTGAGTTGGATTACTTACATGGTCTTATGATTTACAAAAAAAATAAAATAGTATTATTATAGAGGTCTGTAATTTGTATATTTATTAGTACATTTTTTTGGCCATGACTCATAGTTTGTCGAATAATTAGAACATAAGAAAAAAGAGAGATGAATAATGGGTTTAGGCGGGTAATTATGAATAAAACTGTAGTGAGTGAGAGGGTTTGTTTATGTTACATAGAACATTACGAAATTTTGTAGATATATATTATATGGTATGATAATTATGATGTCTATTGTATTTGATGGGTGTTGTATAAATAATAATAATCATTTGAACAATATGAATAAGCAGTTGTGTTCAAGTTTGTCACTAATTTTCAGTATGTGGTTTAAAATTTGAAATATGAATACTGTATAGAAGAAACTTACTAATACACCTTCTACAAATTAATTATTTAACTTTAATTTTAGTGAAAGAGTGCCTCGATCCAATCTCACGCCAAAGGTCCAACGACAATAATACTTTTGTCATTTTATGTTGGTTGGTTTATTGATTCTTAATTTCGTCGTCAGACGTTTTAGAATTTAACATTAAATAATTATTATTGGATTTTAGTGACAGCTTAAGTTGTTTATTTTCTTGTTTCGGGTTTTATTTGAAAATATTTATAAAAACAATTAATTACGTTTCACATGTTAATTTCTCGATTGAGCACTTATATTATAGGAATAGTTGAAAACAACACAAATCTACTAATTATATAAAAAAATTATAAATTGAAGGTGTAGTTTATATATAGTTTCAAGAGGTTTTATTTAAAATAGTGGTTGACCATGCATGACCCATCCCTAAAGGTACGCCATGTTAGATGTTCCAAAATTTTGCTGGTTTTTTATTGTTTTTTTTTAACAACAAAAAGTATTGACAATAAACTCGTAACAGAAAAATGATGTTGATAAACAACATATTAATTTATCACAATTTTTTTTTTTGGTTATATTTGATTTGTTACTAGTTCACAAACAGAAAATGTATGCATACCAAATATGAGTACATGCAAACAATTTAGATGATGTATAAACGAGTAGCTCTGAAGTTTCTACGTTACAGTCTACGATATATATTTTTTTTGGAGAATTTAGTATTACGTCGATTAATACTCAGTACCTACTTGTTAGTTTTATACGATTAGTAGTTGCGAGTTAAGAAAACATATTATACATTAACAAAGGTTAGAGCCGGTGCCATTCGAATGCGTTGATTGTATTTAATCATCATTTAAGGAAAATGATTTTAGATAGAAGTGGACAATTATGTAAGATACACCTACCTCTAATTTTGAATTCAAGTAGACATGTTTTACGAATTCTTTATGCTGGTTATGAACACGGTTCACCATACCCTATTAGTGTACAGTTTTAGTAGATAAATCTTCTTGTCTCTATAAGACCATAACTACCAGAAATATTAGTTGAAATTAAAATAATTAATTAGAAGTTAATTAAATATATAGATAGTGACATGAGTGTGTTGTTTGATCCACCGAACACACACGCACCTCCCACTAAAAGCCAATTAACCAAAAGTTGTGAAAACAAGACTTAAGTGGAAGACTGATAAATCAAAATGAGTATTATAAAAGTGAATACAACGCGTTAGGTTTGTACAATACACATTTTTCTGATCATTCTCATATTTGATTAATTGCTTCAAAGCTTTGCCCACTTTCTTCTTCCTCACTTGATTCCTTAAGAGTAGAGGGAAACTTGTTTATGCTTTAAATTTGGTGAGACAGGCAAAAGAACGAGCAATAATCCACAAGGAGGATTATCATCTTGGTCGAAAATATTTCGTTGATCCAGTTTATCCAGGTAAAAAGCATTGCAATGAAAACTGTTTATAAAAAAAAAAAAAAAAAAAAAAATCAAAACAGTATTCGAGGGAATAACTATCAAACTGATTTATGTGCTCAAATCTTAATTGCCATTTGAGCTTGAAGATGCATCAAAAATTTGATCATTGCATGTTATTTTTTGCAGGTTTTTCGTTTCAATTAAAAAAGCTTTATAAATATTAACCCATAATTTCCAGTTTTTTTTTACCAATTAGTAAGCTCTGTTTAGCTTTGGCCGTTGGGTTTCAATTTCTGTTTTATAGTTATTTTGTGTTTTGAAGTTTGTTTCCAAAATTTGATGCATTTGGTTTTGAAAATGTAATCTGGCAAAGATGTAGATAAGAACCTGTCCTTACACTAGAATGGTTTTGAGTTAACTTATCTTTGTTATTTATGCACATAAAGACTTGTTAGGCTTCTGATTGTCCATAATGTTTGTCTTTTGTCCTGAAAAAACAGAGAATATTTCTCGATCAGGAATTCCTCTGGAATTTTGACAACAGAGATGGAGGGTGATACTCCTCATGCTCAAAACAATGACCCTGAGCACGACAATCCATTGATGAATGTGAACAATCCATCAAGCAACTTGACTTCTAAGAAAGATGCACAATGTTTGTCGGTTTTATGCAACGGGAAATGGTTACACATTGTTAGAAGCAGTCCCAAAGTATCATGTGAGGTCTCTACTTGTACAAGTCATTTTTCGAGCAAAGTAGGAGAAGACTATGATGCGGCTGAATCCGAAAAGATGCATAACAAGGTAATCTCTTTATCGAGTAAAACCTTGTCGTCAGACTACTCTCAGGGCATCCTTCAATTCACTATAAGAGCCAATGGAACGCCTCATTTTGTTTTCAAATTGGAGAATCAAAAAGATGTATATGTGGCAAGCTTAAGCAGCAATGTCCAAGACCAAAACTCGTATATGATCCATTTGCAAAGAGGAGAATCATTGTCATCATCATCATATCCAGTTGGTAGAATAAATATATCGACTTTGTTCTCAGAGAAAATCTTAGAGAGACAGTTTGTTTTGTTCAGTAGCAATGGCGAGCATCTCAAGATACCGCGTAGTATGAAAAACAGAGGATTGTCTAAAAATGTAGTCCATGAGATCAAGAACGATAAAAGAATCTCAAGATTGAGCAGAACAAGCTTCATACCTGGTTTAGGTTCTTGGGATCAGCAATTCCAAGAACCAAACTATGACCTTGAGAAGGTGAATCTGCTAGAAAACAACCTTCCAACAAATCTTGAAACATTAGCTGTTGTTGTGAAACAAGAGACTCTTGAGGAAGAAATTGGAGGTTGGGGATTAAAGTTCTTGAAGAGATCGCCCATGGTCCAAAGAACTAATGATGCTACTGAGACTGAAACTACAACATCTTCGATGATAAGTATGAATGTTGTGATTTCTTCAGGGGTTCATGGAGGGCCTGAAGATGGACCTTTGAGTTTGATAGAGAGATGGAAATCTCAAGGAAAGTGTGACTGTGGAGGATGGGACTTGGGTTGTTCCCTAACGCTTCTTAAAGGCCAACCACAGAAAGACCAGTTCGAGCTACTCAAAGAGGTAACTAACACTCATTCATTTCGTCTTAACACATCAATCTTATAGCCAATCCCCTTTAACAAAGAAGCTATTTTGATAATCTTTTGGTGCTGTTTCAGGGTTCAAAGCATGAAACGAGTGGATTAAAGATTGTGAATGTTAGTGGAGGAGTCTACTTAGTTCAATTCGAAGGAAAGTTGACTAGTCTGCAATCATTTGCAATTGCTTTGGCATTCATACATAGCCAGAAGCGCTTAGACCGTTGCATCTTACATATTTGAACTACTAGTTAAGCTTTTTCCTTATGTTAATAATAACAGAACTGGAAAGAAATTGTAAGAATGTCTAAATAGCCAAAAGATTTGAATGTCGGATACATATTGTCAGAGAACAAACGAGAATTTTGGTAGCAAAGATATTTTTAACAGATAAATATTGTTAACTCTATGTATTATAAACTCATCAGATTCTCTCACAGAAACAAAGCCATGGAAAGAAAAAGGAAATCTTTTTATGACCGTTAGTTAATTTCCTTTTTTTCTTTTGAGAACCTCTTTGCTTATAAATAGATAAATACTCTCTCACACAGACTCAACGCTTGTTATCTAATTATTCCTTGAGAGACAAATCAAAACTCTCTTCTTCGTCTTCTTCTTCTTCTCGAGCCAATTATACAGAGACTCTCTGTGAATTTCGATGATCCAAGTAGACATTGAAGAAGTAAAAGCCGATGATGATGATCTCTGCAACATCCGTAATTGATCGGAGCGGAAATAATATAATCGTTTCGTGATTGAATGATGATCTCCATCAAATCTCCGTCAAAATCAAGATCGATTTCAATTGGCCCTAAATTCACCAGATAATGACCTAGCCACCGAGATGCTTTCACCGGAGAGTACATACATGGAAAAAGAGGATAGTCGTCGTTTATCTTGAGAATTCAAGATATGTCAAGTTTCGGAACAATCACAAGTCGCCTAGTGCGTATATCACAACCTACAGGTACACAACTTTCTTACCTTTTTTTCCTTTTTTTTTTTTAAAATAAAATATAACAATTTGGATTTCAAAAATTTTTTTAAAAAAAAAGAATTTAGGTTTTTCACTTTTGATTTTTCTGATTTATTAGTAAATATAAAAGTTTTTTCAAATATTTTGAAAGTAAATAGTTTTAATTTTACTAAATATTTTAATTAACCAAATATTTTAATAATTAAAATATCTAAGTGTTAAATTTAAATACGTCGAAAACTAACCAGACTTAGCATCCCTTCCTTTTGGTCCGTAAGTCTTGCGGTGTCATAAGTTCAACTTGTTTTCACGTATGGTAAATTTAACGCTTAGATCTGTTTTAAATATTAATAATAAAATTTAACTATAACTTTAAACTAAAAATATTTTAATCTTTAAAATATCTAAGTGTTAATTTTTATTACGTCAAAAACTAACCGAACTTAGCATCCCGTCTTTTTGGTCCGTATTGCGGTGTCATAAGTTCAGCATGTTTTCACGTATAGTAAATTTAACGCTTAGATCTGTTTTAAATATTAATAATAAAATTTAACTATAACTTTAAACTAAAAATATTTTAATCTTTAAAATATCTAAGTGTTAATTTTTATTACGTCGAAAACTAACCGAACTTAGTATCCCGTCTTTTTGGTCCGTAAGTTTTGCGGTGTCATAAGTTCAACATGTTTTCACGTATAGTAAATTTAACGCTTAGATATGTTTTAAATAATAATAATAAAATTTAACTAAAACTTTAAACTAAAAATATTTTAATCCTTAAAATATCTGAGTGTTAAATTTTATTACGCCGAAAACTAACCGGACTTAGCATCCCGTCCTTTTGGTCCGTAAGTCTTGTGGTGTCATAAGTTCAACTTGTTTTCACGTATGGTAAATTTAACGCTTAGCTATGTTTTAAATATTAAAAAAAAATTAATTAAAACTTTAAACTAAAAATATTTTTAATCTTTAAAATATCTTAGTGTTAAATTTTAATACGTTGAAAACTGACTTAGCATCTCGTCTATTAATTAGGTCCGTAAGCTTTACTGTCATAAGTTAAACATGTTTTCACGTATTGTAAATTTAATGCTTAATTATGTTTTAAATAATAATAAAAAATAACTAAAATCTTTTAACTAAAAATGTTTTAATTTTTACAATATCCAAGACTTTTGGGGGCTTTAAAAAATTTTAAAAGTCTTAATAGTCATTATTTTCCTAATCATACTTTATTGGCTTTAGTTAATTTAATGTCGAAAACTGATCGGATTTAGCATCATGTCCTTTAATTAGGTCCGTAAGTTCAACATGTTTTCACATAGTGTAAATGTTAACCTTCTTAAAGGCGAACCACGGGAAGACCAGTTCAACTACTCATAGAGCTCGATTCATTTCTTAACCTTAAAGCTCGAGTGAGATAAGAGATCCTCTAACACATCAACCTTTTCGTGCTGTTACAAGGTTCAACGTGGGTTTAAAGATTGTGAATGGTCGTAAAGGACTCTACTTAGTTCAATTCAAGCAATGTTGAATGTTTTGCAATCATTTTCAATTGCTCAGGTATTCATACATAGCCAGAAGTTAAGAACGTTGCACCTGTAATCACCTTACACATTTTAACTAGTTAAGCTTTTTCCATATTGTGATGTGTTAATAACAACAGAACAGAAAGGAACTTGGAAAAATGTCTAAATAGCCAAAACATTTGAATGTCGGATACATATTGTCAGAAAATAAAAATATCTTGCTACCAAAATTCTCAAGTTTGTATTTAGACAGATCCATCAAATACAAGCAATTGATTGATCTGATCATTAGACAATGGCATTGGCAGCACTAGCAATCCTTGGCCAAAGATCAGCACACTCTTTCCCAATAGGACCAGTGATTGCAGAACCTTTCATTTCTCCCTTGGGGTTGACAATGACTCCAGCATTATCTGTGCAACAAAGAAACACAGAATCAGTACTTGCTTTCCATACACAATTACTAACAATGATCAAGTTGAGGGATATATAGAGTCCATATGGAGCAGATGCAAGCGTTCAAGCAATGAAGCATCTGTAACGAAGGACACAATTTAGTTTTCCAGACTTGTACGAGCATCAACACCCTCTAAGCGTGTCGGTGGATACTTGACTTAAGCCTGGTGATATCAATCATATAAACTGACTAAAGCCTATACACAATTACTAACAATGATCAAGTTGAGGAATATATAGAGTCCATATGGAGCAGATGCAAGCGTTCAAGCAATAAAGCATCTGTAACAAAGGACACAATTTAGTTTTCCAGACTTGTACGAGCATCAACACCCTCTAAGCGTGTCGGTGGATACTTGACTTAAGCCTGGTTATATCAATCATATAAACTGACTAAAGCCTAAAGGTTTACTAAAATCATAGAATCAGTAATACAAGAACAATGAGAATGTAGAGTTCAAATGGAGCAGATGCAAGCGTTTGAGCATGACAGTATCTGTAACGATAGAACACATTTAGGTATACCAGATTTTGTTTTGTATTTATACACCCTCTTAATGTGTCGGTGGATACATGACACAATTCTGGAAAATGTAAGTAGTCAATAGCCACTAGATAGTATCTCTATCTATTCATAAGCTACATGACCAATAGAACACAACCAAGCAATTGATAGTAAAAGAAGGAATTTGGAGTCCAAATGGAGCAGATTCAAGCTTTGAAGCATTACAGTAACTGTATTAATCACTCTCTTAAGCTTGGTGAAGAAATTATGAATCCTATAAGGGTATTTAGGGAGAAAGAAAGATATCTGACCTTCGAAGTACATGAAAACACCATCCTTTCGGCGCCATGGTTTGCGTTGCCTGACGATGACGGCAGGAAGAACCTTTTTCCGGAGATCAGGCTTACCCTTTTTGACGGTGGCCATCACCATGTCGCCGACGCAAGCAGAAGGTAATCGATTAAGACGACCTTTGATACCTTTCACTGAGATTATGTACAGATTCTTAGCACCGGTGTTATCGGCACAGTTCACCGTCGCCGCCACCGGAAGACCCAGCGACATCCTGAATTTGTTACCCGACGTACCTCCACGCCCTAATCAAAAACAATGCGGAAAACTGAATGAATACACATTGATACATTGTAAACGTATCAGATCTAATAACTAAGATAGAAGAAAAGCACGAACCTCGCTTCGACATTGTTGACGGCTAGAAGAGAAATCTGGAGTTACATTTTTAGGGTTTCCGGTGTGATTTATACTGACTCATACTTCTAGGGTTTCACTAGGCTTAAGATGGAAGAAGAAGACGATCGCGTTTTAAAGCCCAAGTTTAATGTATTTTAGGCCCATTAAAGCCCACGAAAAGTTTTAAATCAGAAGCGTCTTATTATTTGGAGAGTCCCACATCGGAAAGCTGAGAGGGTTTGCCAATGGAAACATCAGTATAAATATACTTCACTCTCCTCAGCTTCAAATCACGCAGCCATGTGGTGAGCACATAGCGAACTATTCTTTCGCCTTTTACTAAAGAATACCGTGTGCTCTCCACGCTAAGTGGCATACGCCTATTTTTGGAGGGATCTCACTTCACTGTGAGACCCAACAACATACAGTTTAATATTTTTGTTGGAAAGATCTCAGCACGAATGTTTTGAAAAATGAATCATTATTACGTAACGATTTCTGAAAACTGTAACCAGGTTATTAAACCGTAGATAACCAATTAAATTTTTTAAAAGGTATTGTAGTGTCCTAAATTATAGGATCTTAGTTTTTTTTGGCTTGGTTCTGTTGATGTTGATGCATATGATCGACTTTGCTAAGTGGTGATCTGGAATCGATAGAATAAGATTTGAGGTTATTTATGATATTTGAATTGGTTTTTGCTGATGCCATTATTTGCCCAAGTTTCATGGTTGTAAGTTGTAACTTGTAAGAAGTGCATTTCTTCATAATCTTCTGTTATAGTTGTTTTTAAGGCTTGTAAGGTTTTCACGGAACTCAATTTGATTTGCAATTTTTGTCGATTCCTAAAACGTGATTGAATAGAGTTGACCTTACTTGGAAGTTTGAACAAATTCCATCATAAGATCATATATAGCTATCCAGTTTAACAATTGAAGGACAACATTTAAGTAACTGAGCAGACAGAATTGAGATTAAGTATTGACCCAAATTTTATCTTCTTTTTTTTTTCCGGATACATCAACAACAAAAAGGTGCAAAAGTATGTTGAGTAACAAGTTTCCAACTCTGTTTATGTTGGATTCTGTTGTCAACAATTTAAGGTTGGATTTTGTTTTTTCTTAAAAGGTTGTGTATATGGAAGAGAATTCAGATGAAATACAAGAAAAACAATAGAGTTGGCTTGGCAAAAGTTACTTGGAATAGGAGATTTGCTAATTATGGTTGATTTCACGAGTCTTCCTCATTTTACTCACATCCTCTATCCTTCCTTAGCACAGAGAAATTTGTTGTCGCTTAGCTTTTTCCAAGTTGTCTCGTCTTCCTCAACCTCCTCATTTCTCTCTGTTTTTTCTGTTCGTTGTCTCTCATTTTTCCCTTATTAAAACAAAGAACTCCTTCTCTCTCCTCACTTTCTCGGACATCTGATTTCTTAAACCCGAATCCGTCTGGTCTTTCTTCCTTCTTGCCTCCCCTCCGTGATGGTTCGTCATTCTCGGAGGGAGTCCTTTTTCGACATGGTTGGCTTTGAGGTTTGTCCTGATACTGATCTTCTCTGGCCATTCGGGAAGCTTGATGGTCTTGATCGGGATGAAATCCGTGAAACCGCGTATGAGATCTTTTTTGCCGCATGTCGATCATCACCTGGATTTGGAGGTAGAAATGCTCTCACATTCTACTCCAAGCACAATGGTGGTGACCATCAAGGGGATGGAATAGGAGGAGGAGGTGGGTCACCTAATGGGTCTGGATTCGGGTCTTTAGGAAGAAAAGAAGTGGTGACAACACCAACAAGCCGAGTAAAACGGGCGTTAGGGTTAAAGATGCTTAAACGATCTCCATCTAGGCGAATGTCGACAGTAGGGACCGTTGTAGGAGCCGTGTCAGCTCCTTCATCCCCTGGTAATAATGGAAGCATAGGAAGTGGTTCAGGACACTTCAGCCCTGGGGCTGGGTTTTTTACGGTCCCACCTTCTCGGCCTCGACGACCGTTAACCTCTGCAGAAATCATGAGGCAACAAATGAAGGTGACAGAGCAGAGTGACACTCGGCTTCGGAAAACCCTAATGAGGACGCTTGTTGGCCAAGTAAGCTCCTCTGTTTTTTAATTATGAATGAAACTCTGTTTCTTGATTAATTAAAGAAATGTTTATAACTGTTATTCTTTAGACTGGAAGGCGAGCAGAGACAATAATCCTTCCGTTAGAGCTTCTCCGTCACGTGAAATCATCGGAGTTTGGTGATGTACATGAGTATCAAATTTGGCAAAGACGGCAACTCAAAGTCCTTGAAGCTGGTCTTCTAATCCACCCATCAATCCCTCTTGAGAAGACCAACAACTCTGCAATGCGTCTCCGAGAAATCATCCGCCAGAGTGAGACAAAAGCCATCGACACCAGCAAAAACTCAGACATAATGCCGACATTATGTAACATTGTCTCCTCCTTATCATGGCGCAACAGCAATCCAACAACCGATGTATGCCATTGGGCTGATGGATACCCGCTTAATATTCATCTCTATGTGGCGCTTTTGCAGTCGATATTTGACGTACGTGATGAGACATTGGTTCTTGATGAGATCGATGAGCTTTTGGAACTGATGAAAAAGACATGGTTAATGTTGGGGATTACACGACCTATGCATAACCTGTGTTTCACTTGGGTTCTGTTTCATCAATACATTGTGACCTCACAGATGGAGCCAGACTTGCTTGGTGCCTCCCACGCCATGTTGGCTGAAGTTGCGAATGACGCCAAGAAGTCTGATCGCGAGGCTCTTTACGTGAAGCTCTTGACCTCGACATTGGCCTCTATGCAAGGATGGACTGAAAAAAGGTACATATTTTTGCCTTCTAAATGGACTTGATCACACAAAACTGGATCTGATTATGAATGTGTGATTATAGGTTGTTGAGCTATCATGATTATTTTCAACGAGGAAACGTGGGATTGATAGAGAATCTTCTGCCATTGGCGTTGTCTTCGTCTAAGATTTTGGGGGAGGACGTGACAATCTCTCAAGGGAATGGTCTAGATAAAGGTGATGTGAAATTAGTAGATTCTTCAGGGGATCGTGTTGATTACTATATAAGAGCATCTCTTAAAAACGCCTTCTCAAAGGTAATTTTGACTACAAAAATCACATGTGTTTTATATCTCTCTGTCTTTTTGGTTTCTCATATCAGTATTGTTCTAAAATGTGTCAGGTTATAGAAAACATGAAGGCCGAAATCGCAGAAACAGAGGAAGGAGAAGAAGCGGCAACTATGTTGCTTCGGCTAGCTAAGGAGACAGAGGAGCTTGCTTTGCGCGAGAGCGAGTGTTTTAGCCCTATACTTAAGAGATGGTACTTGGTTGCAGCTGGAGTTGCCTCGGTTTCGCTTCACCAATGTTATGGTTCCATCTTGATGCAATACTTAGCTGGTCGATCGACAATCACTAAAGAGACTGTTGAAGTTCTGCAAACGGCGGGGAAGCTCGAGAAGGTTCTTGTGCAGATGGTGGCAGAAGATTCAGAGGAATGTGAAGATGGAGGCAAAGGGCTTGTTAGAGAGATGGTTCCGTATGAAATCGATTCGATTATCTTACGACTACTAAGGCAATGGATTGACGAGAAGTTACAAACAGTTCAAGAATGTTTGAGCAGAGCAAAAGAAGCTGAAGTAGGTTTATTAAAGCTTTACTTGCAGTTCAAGTATACAAAATGTTTCATCTATTCAATCATTATTTTTTGTTTCTATAGACATGGAACCCGAAGTCAAAATCAGAACCTTATGCACAATCTGCTGGAGAGTTGATGAAGCTAGCGAATGATGCGATCCAGGAATTCTTTGAGATCCCTATTGGGATTACAGAGGATCTGGTTCATGATCTTGCTGATGGATTAGAAAAACTCTTCCAAGAATACACCACATTCGTAGCATCTTGTGGTAAGTGAAAGGATAAAATTTCTCATTTCGTACCAAACCATTGGTGACTGATTGGTGGTTTTGTTTTCAGGTTCAAAACAGAGTTACATTCCTACGCTTCCTCCACTTACAAGATGTAACCGAGACTCAAAGTTCGTGAAGCTGTGGAAGAAAGCCACGCCTTGTACTGCCTCGGGAGAAGAACTTAACCAAATTGGTGAAGCCACAGGTGGCAACCACCCGCGTCCTTCCACCAGCCGCGGAACCCAACGCCTCTACGTTCGTCTCAACACTTTACATTTCCTAAGCTCTCAACTTCACTCACTCAACAAATCCCTTTCTCTCAACCCGAGGGTCCTCCCCGCGACACGTAAACGCTGCCGCGAACGGACCAAATCATCATCGTATTTCGAATTCACTCAAGCGGGAATCGAATCCGCGTGCCAACATGTCTCTGAGGTTGCAGCTTACCGGTTAATCTTCCTGGACTCATACTCAGTATTCTACGAAAGCCTATACACCGGAGATGTCGCTAATGCGAGGATCAAACCAGGGTTGCGAATCTTGAAACATAACTTAACGTTAATGACCGCGATTCTTGCGGACCGAGCGCAAGCGTTGGCGATGAAAGAAGTCATGAAGGCTTCATTCGAAGTCGTTTTGACGGTTCTTCTCGCGGGAGGACATTCCCGAGTTTTCTATCGAACGGATCACGATTTTATCGAGGAAGATTTCGAGAGTTTAAAGAAGGTTTATTGCACTTGCGGCGAAGGACTAATCCCAGAGGAAGTGGTGGATCGAGAGGCAGAGACAGTTGAGGGAGTGATTCAGCTTATGGGCCAACCAACAGAACAACTTATGGAAGATTTTAGCATCGTGACATGCGAGTCAAGCGGAATGGGATTGGTCGGGACAGGACAAAAACTTCCCATGCCTCCAACGACTGGACGATGGAACAGGTCGGATCCAAACACGATTTTGCGAGTTCTTTGCTATAGAGACGATCGTGTCGCTAATCAGTTTTTGAAAAAATCGTTTCAATTGGGTAAACGAAGATGACACAAAGAGAAATAGTAAAAGGAATGTCATCTCGCTAAGACGTGATCAGTTGTATATTTTGAGATTAAGATGTTACAAAAAAAGAAAACATTGCTTGTTCATTAGATATTTTTCAAATATATATACAGAGATGTGACTTGTACTACAAGAAAAGTTAAAAATATTTCTTGTGAATCGATGAGACTCACCGAAAATCTGAGTAATGTAGCGAAGGCCTTTCACGGTCGTCATCTCGGGAGGAATGGTTTCCGGTTAGAAATTCAGATGCTCTAACTCTCTGAATGTGCCAAAACCAGATGCTTTTATTCAATTAGGGTTTTTGCAATTTGTGTTAAAGTTCGGATATTTGGAGTTATGTTTAAGTTCGGATTTAGCAAAATTCTACTATAAATTAAAGGTTTGTAATTGGTGAACGATCTCCCATGGCTTTCCCATCTTGTATTAGCCATCGATTCAGCCTTCTTGGTAATATAATTTTACGCACAAATAACAAATATGACCGTTACTCACTAAAACACAAATAATATCTTGATAAATTGTTACCGACTAAAAACTCAAACAATATTACGCACAAATAACAAATTTGACCGTTGTGAGCAAATTTCCATTAGTTTTGCAGCATAACTGAAATTTCCTTTTTCTTATCCTCGTCGTAAAACAAAAAAGAAACAATATAGACTTTCCTTTTTGTCCTATTGAACAACGTTTGCTTATAAATACTCTTCTTCCTTGTGAAATCATAATTCTTCATTCATCTTCTTTTTCAAAACGAAAACAAAAGAATCCATCTTTCATCATTCATCTCCTTTTTTTTTTTTTTTAATACCTCTTGTTTCTTCTGAAGCAAACCTCTGCGAATGTCTTACGGATATGATCGAGACCGTGAAGGAGATGATCCATTCATAGATTGAAGTAAGCCGATGATCTATGCAACGTCTGTAGGATTGGTCGTCGGAGGAAAACATCTAGTTTCGTGATTGATCACCATCCTCTGTCTTCTGTCAATCGGGTTTACCCTAATTTCACAGTTCTTGATGATCCGTTCTCATGAGATTAGTGGACGACAACCAGTGCAGTGACAGTGAAGAATGACTTGGCAATTGAACAGATCATGTTCGATGGACTTGGTAATGAAGATAAGTGTGATAGTTGGAGTTTCATCGATGTCACGATCAACAACTACATAACAGAGCAATGACGAACAACTTGACAATGGCTTTTCTTGTGACGACCAAACGAAGTCCAATAAGGTATAATACTTTCTTTATTTCTTTAATTATTTTTTTCAAATAAAAACTGATTTTTTTTATTTTTTTAATAAGTGTTGAATTTTTAATTTTTGTGTAAACTAATTGGATACAACATCCAAACCCCTAAGTGGTGTTATAGGTTCAATATGGTTTACACATAATTAAATTTTTAACACTTACTTTTTTTTTCTTAATGTTTTTGTTTTTTTTTTCTTTTTTTTTATAAGTGTTAAATTTTTAATTTTTGTGTAAACTAATTGGATACAACATCCAAACCCCTAAGTGGTGTTCTAGGTTCAATATGGTTTACACATAATTAAATTTTTTACACTTACTTTTTTTTTTTTTAATGTTTTTGTTTTTTTTTTCTTTTTTTTTATAAGTGTTAAATTTTTAATTTTTGTGTAAACTAATTGGATACAACATCCAAACCCCTAAGTGGTGTTCTAGGTTCAATATGGTTTACACATAATTAATTTTTTTACACTTGCTTTTTTCTCTTAATGTTTTTTTTTTTTTTTGTTTTTTTATAGGTGTTAAATTTTTAATTTTTGTGTAAACTAATTGGATACAACATCCAAACCCCTAAGTGGTGTTCTAGGTTCAATATGGTTTACACATATATAATTAAACTTTTAACACTTGCTTTTTTTTCTTAAAGTTTTTTTTTTTCTTTTTTTTTATAAGTGTTAAATTTTTAATTTTTGTGTAAACTAATTGGATACAACATCCAAACCCCTAAGAGGTGTTCTAGGTTCAATATTATTTACACATAATTAAATTTTTAACATTTGTTATTTTTTTGAGTAAGTGTTAAATTTTTAATTTTTGTGTAAACTAATTGGATACAACATCCAAACCCCTAAGTGGTATTCTAGGTTTAATATGGTGTACACATAATTAAATTTTACACTTGGTTTTTTTTTTGAGTAAGTGTTAAATTTTTAATTTTTGTGTAAACTAATTGGATACAACATCCAAACCCCTAAGTCATTCTAGGTTCAATATGATTTACACATAATTAATTTTTTAACATTTGTTTATTTTCTTCTAATAAGTGTTAAATTTTTAGTTTTGTGTAAAATAGTTGGACAAAACATCCAAATCCCTAAGAGGTGTTCAATGTAGTTTACACACCATTAATTTTTAACACTTTTTTTTTTATATAAATGCTAAATTTTTGAATTTTGTGTAAACTAGTTGGACACAACATCCAAACCCCTAAGATGTGTTCTAGGTTCAATGTGGTTACATATAATTAAAATTTTTAATACTTGTTTTTTTTTCTAATATGTGTTAAATTTTTAAATTTTGTGTAAACTAATTGGACACAACATCCAAACCCTATGAGGTTCAAGGTTCAATATGGTTTACACATAATTACAATTTTTAACACTTGTTTTTTTATTAAAAATATTTTTATATTACTTTTTATTTAAAAAATATTTTTACTAGTTAAAAGAATTAAATAATGATAATTATTATTAAAACTTTTTCAAAAAATTAGTTTCTTTTTTCTTTTGTCGTCTAGATTTATTATTAATTGCAAATTATGAGAACTGTTACATAGACGATTCTACAACTGACAATTCCTTCCGACCCTTACTAGATTCACGACAGACTACACTTCCTTCTTCGTAATTTTGATGAATACCTTCAATGATCCACGACCTGGCGATACTTCTTTCTCTGCGTAGAATCCTGGCGAACGGCTATAATTGTACATCGCTGGAGATCTCTTGCACACTTTCCTCCATTAATCTGCAAATTTGTTAATAAATCGCAATACCTGGGACTCGAACCCCAGACCTTTTGGTGTAGAAGCATTAATCAACCCTTGGTCAACCAATGGGCCAAGGGGGCTTCCACTTCAAAAAATTAGTTTAAGTGTTAAATTTTAAACACGTCGAATATATACTGGCAAATTTTTATAAGAGTTTTTTAAAAGATTTACAAGAGTTTTAAAAAGATTTTAAAGAGTTTACAAGGTTTTTAAAAAAGGTTTATAGGAATTTCTGGAATTTTTGTAAAGTGATCTTGTAATTGCGAGAATTTTTGTCTTAAAATGTTTAGAAAAGATTTATAAATATTTTAAAAGAATTAAAAAGATTTATAAAGGTTTTGAAAAAATCGTTTCAAGTGGTCTCGACGATTGGGAAGGCAGTCATACTTCCTTCACCTAATTGAGAGACGAAGATGAGCACAACGAGAAATAGTAAAAAGAATGTCTTCTGGCTGATCTGTTGTATATTTTGATTTTTGAGATTAAAGATTTTACAAAAAGAAAAAAAAAAATTGCTTCTTCATTAGATAAATGGGAAAAATCCTTGACATGTAAATGATTTTGGTTTGGACATTTAACCCGGTTATGAGATAACCGGGTACAACCTGAAACGACTTCGTCGCATCGATGCGATAATTTTCCTCCCTTCTTCTTTCTCCTCTTAAACATTATCTTGATTTATCTACAGTAACAAAAATGGCGACAATGGCGACGCAGGGGCCTTGGCTCAGGGTTGTATCCGTATCTCCGACGAAATCAACAGAGCTCGGTTCTCTGACTTCCCAACTCAGCGGCGTAAGAATTTCACATGGTTACAGTGATGCCATCAATCGTATAACCTTACCTTCTGTTCCCTCTCTCCAACCCATCGTCGCTCGTAAGCTTCTCTCAGTTCTTCTTCCGCCTTTATTCAATTAGGGTTTTTGCAATTTGTGTTCAAGTTCGGATTTTTGGAGTATCTTGCGTTTGGTTCTCTGAAATTGACTAGAATTCATCAATGCTTCAAGTCCTGTAACGAAATTCTATCTCGATTATGATTGATACATCACAAAAGTAAACATTGATGATGATGAATGCTTCACAAGGAGTTTATGTGAGTTTAATGTTTCCCCAATTTGGGATTTAGATCTTCTTATTTGGTTTGTTTGCAGTTTTAGACATTCACAAACGTTTTTCGTTACCAGCTTAAACATTTGCCTAGCTCTCATCCTTTGAAGCTGTTTCGTGTATGTCATCTCAGGTAGAATCTGCCCTTTTACGGGGAAGAAAGCAAACAGAGCTAACAAAGTGTCCTTCTCTAACCACAAGACCAAGAAGTTGCAATTCGTCAACTTGCAATACAAAAAAGTTTGGTGGGAAGCTGGCAAACGTTTTGTCAAACTTCGTTTATCAACCAAGGCCTTGAAGACCATTGAGAAGAACGGCCTCGATGCTGTTGCCAAGAAAGCTGGCATAGATCTAAGTAAGAAGTAGAAATTGTAGATTCATCTGAGGTATGTAGTCGTCTTTTTGGTACTAGTCATGACCCTTTTGTTTTCCTACTCAGTTCGGTAGTCTTTATTGGTTTTCTGATAAGAAAACCAATAGTTGAGCTTTGTCTCATTCATGCCATTGTCGGGTTAGTCCGCTTTGTTCAATCCTTAATGTCTAGTTCATCTCAGGAATCGCCAAAAACTACTTAGATAAGATTGAAAAGTAAATTTTGTCAAGATTTTTAATTTTCCTCAGTAGAATCATTGAATGGTAAATGTTTCAAATCCACGTTTAGTAGCTCTATCATCAGCTTGTTATTTCGGTGCCTCCTTGAAAGAGAAAGATCATAAACCAGGATATTTACCTGTGATTTTATCTCTTCTCAGGTGGTTAACCATTTTCTTTGTGAAACATATATGTTTTTCTCTATGGAACAGTCAAGACAGACCGAGACAATTCACACGCTAGACAGGTGACCAAAACCATGATGTGTTTTACTCTTTGTCACTGATATTATTATCATTACATTTATCGACTGATTGAACAATAGGATTCTCAGTTTTCCCTTTCGTCTTCTTCATTGATAGCTCTCCTCCTCCTGATTCTTTTGGCTTCCTATGACGTGATGTAGACTTTCTAGTATGAGTTGAACTGTCTGAAAGAGGGTAAGAACCTTCCATATCAGTGGTAACCGAGACAGCACGCCTCCTCCTAACTGATGGATCATTCGATGAATCTATCGACCCGTGCCTACTCCTGTGGTGACGTCTTGGGTGTTTTGGTTGCATATCTGATGCTGACGCACTGCTGTTTCGCCTAGGCGGAGAACCGTTTTGTGAGACCGTCTCGGATTTACGCCTAGTCTTCTTGTGCTTCGGTTTTTCGGTAGGAGGCAACAACTCTTGTAATCCAACTCCTTCTCCTATTTGATTGTTGTTGGCATCTCCTCGAGAAACTACTTGACCATTCTCATTGTCTTGAGGTCTGAAGTCACCCATCTACATGTTTTTTAACCAATGGTGAGTATACTTATACGTATGGTCGGCAAAATAAATACGTATAAATGTACAAAGCGTACCCAGCTTGGCATATTGGCCGCCGGACCGTCGGATCCGATGTGGGCGACATGCTTTACATCGGTAGGAAACCCAATCTGCATATCCTTGTCTTTATCTTCGTCTGCAATTAGATTTTTGATTTCAAATATATATACAGAGATGTGACTTGTACTACAAGAAAAGTTAAAATATTTCTTGTGAATCGATGAGACTCACCGAAAATCTGAGTAATGTAGCGAAGGCCTTTAAGAAGGCCTTTCACGGTCGTCATTACGGGAGGAATGGTTTCCGGTTAGAAATTCAGATGCTGTAACTCTCTGAATGTGCCAAAACCAGATGCTTGTAGACCAAATGAAAAGTTGTTCCAACCAGACAGACAGAATTGAACGAGATCAGAGAATTCGAACCTTGATAGCATTGATTTTCATTTTGGAAATAATTGAGAAAAGAATTGGAAAGAGAGAGAGACAGATTAGGTTTCAGACAAATTCTTGGTTGCGAAGAAGAGGGAGAGCACTATACTTTATTTACCAAAAAAAAAACAAAAAAACTTTTTCAAGATTTTTATTTTTACTGCTTATATATATGTTTTTACTTTTTATAAATAGAACTACTTTTATTTTAAGTTTTTTTTGTTGGTGATAATTGAGGCAACTTAGTGTTTACTGAATCCTCCGTGGAAAAAAAAAACTAGACGAGAGGATTTTACGGGTTGAAGGAGACAAGACCACTAACACAAAAAAAAAATTACTCCGCATTAGTTTTTCTTAATATATATATCAGGTAATAAACTTTATTAATAACATAGATTTTTGCTATATAAATAAAATATATTATTAAAGTAGAAAATACCAAATACAAAATTAAATTTGCTCTAACCTTATATATCTAATATAGCTATAGTTTTTATGTTATTGTTATATACTTTTAGTTTTAATGAGTTAATAATATTTTTTTACACATAAGATTAATACCCACTTACTCAAATTTAGTTATGAATCTTATTATAATCATGAATAGATATAACAAGAAGAAATAATTCAAAGTGAAGCTTTGACAAAAAGAAAAAGAAATAATATATAGAAAATGAAGAACAAAATAATATCCAAAAAGAAATACATATATAATACACTAATCAGTCCAAAGAACTGTTAAAATAATAATAATGAAACAACAATAACAAGAAAACAACAACAAAAGACATCATACTTCTCGAAAAGCCCTAATTTTTTCGGATCGAGAATCCTAAATTTCTTGTTTTTATTAATTAATTTAACCGGACAAGTCTACTACCAGAGAGTCACAGCCTTAATGACAAGTCGATGGAACTCGAGTTGGCTCCTCCGTTCTCCGTCACAGCACTATCCTCCGCTCTCCGTTGCTCCAGCTGCCAAATAAGCGGCAGCGTAAAGACATTTTCGGATGACGCAGCTGGAAAAAGATCCATGAGCTTCGGCGTCGTCGGCATCTTTGGCAGCAAAAACTTATATTTTCTGGTCGGAGTTATCACCGGCGTTGGAGAACATCCTTTATGAAACCTCCCGTGGTCGTCTAAGTAACCCCTACGGTAATAATTCACGTCAAAATGATTCCTCGCCTGAAAATCAGGATTAGGGTTCCGGTTTACGTTCGGGTAGTGGCGGAAGGAGGTGGGTGTAGCGATGGCGGAGGAAGAGAAGGTGGAACCGTGGCGATTGGAGTGAACATCGTTGAAGTGTGAGATCAGGTGGTGTGATGATAAGAAGACTCTCTTACAAATCGCACATTCTTGGGGGTTTGAAAATGCCATGCTTAGGTTTTATATGTTTATATTAATGACGATGCAAGAGAGATATTGAGAGATGGAGAACCTAAGACACATCTATAGAACTATTTATATACAAGTTTTATGTATGAAAAAAGGGAGATGGAGATAATGCCAACACTATATGGGGAAATATATTTTTCCATGTGTGTTAGTTTTGTCTTAATTTGATGATGATGAGGATGGATTTATTATCTCATCATGCATGAATTTAGTTCAGGATTTTTTTTTGTAAATGTTTTCTAATAAAGAAAATAATTTTTTATATATAGGTATATCTAATCATATAAAGAAGTCAAACATTGTATTGAAAAATTAAAAGGTAAGGTGATTTAATGCAAATTAAAACTTAAGAATAATGATTGTTTTCATTTTGGGAAGGATACTTATGGGAGGTTGATTATTTGTGGGAAATTAATCAACCACTTTTTATTAATAAAACTTTTTTCTTTTTGTTTTGTATACTTTTTAAGGGAAATACACATTATACACTTCTTGCTCCACTGTAATACAATTTTCTTTTGGGAAAATCCCTAATTAGTTTTTTTTTTTTTTGACAGCATCCCTAATTAGTTTCAGTTACCTATTTTGGTAAATATTAACAAAAATGAAATCTTTGCTTCTGGTCTTCCATTTACGATGTTATCTATTTCAAATATGTGTCCTAAAACATTTCTTTATATGGAGATTGAATTTATTTCTTCTCTTATTGAGAGAGGACCGGTCATGAGATACACGAGGCCCCATCACAAAATTGAGGAGTGAGGACCCACACATTATTTCGTATAAATATTTACATGACCGGCTCTGCTTATGAAAAACGACTAAATAAGTAAAACATTATGATTTTAGTGTTCTTAATACGAGATTTTGAGTACTATAGTTTTAGTTTATTGTTTGCGATTGAATCAACAATAATAAAATGAATTTTGAATATGATTGCAATAAAACATATTACTATCATCAAACTTATTGCAAATTTTGAATATGTTTAGATCATTACAATATATATCTACTTATTAATTATATAGTCAAATTCTTAAATATATATTCACTTAGTATGTTGTAAATAATTTGTAACAAAACTTCACTAGTATACTTAATAATCAATTGTCATAGGTTTCACATATTAAAATGGTTAATTGTACATGTGATTTTATCCCATAGACAAAGATTTATTTCTATGATTACTACACTAAAATATAAATTTAAGAAAATGTTGAAAGTTGAACAAAAAAATTAATTTTTAATCCACTTACATGTAATTACATCATTTTATTCGATTCTAAATTTATTTCAATACTATAAGAATTAAATTGGATAAATAATAAGAAATAAAAATAAATTACCAGTATTACTTTTTAAAAAGTTCAGACACATTTAAGTCACAATACATTTAATCATAAAATTATTGGCGTTAAAGAGGATAATTTAACAAATACAATATGAACAACACTGATCTTAGGAAGAAAAGCCATGTATAATATTTATATCTTTTAACAAATCATGTTTGTTTCTTACTTAACAATAATTTCTGAAACAAAGATGGATAAATTTGATCCAACTGTGAACCTGGCGGGAGACAAATGCAGATAGTCACTTCCTCTTGCTGTTCCCAATACTGAGGAGCTCGAGGCTCTGAAGGGTAATGTCCCGAGCGGTTCTAGTTGGTGCAGCCTTTGCGGCTAAAGAGGAGGACGAAGGAGCAAACTGGGTCCTCTGAGTTGTAGAGGACCGACCGTTGTTTGGGATGAGTCTGCTTGATCGATTCTCTGTGAAATCAGCTGAGGAAGTAGCTCGAACACTTGACCCAGCAATTGCTTTTCTTGACAAACTCTGGTTCCTAGACAAAGAGATTGGCCTCTCCTGGTTTTGCTGATTCAACAAAAAAAGAATACTTTGTGTGCAAATCCCAAAATGTATTCAAATAATCTAGATCTAGGACAGTTTTGGTCTTGGATCTTACGGTTTACCAAAATAAAAGAAAAGAGAAATGTTTCTATTTTGATGTACTAACCGTGTCCTTGGATGCAAGAACATTCTCTGAGGTTCTTGGTCTACTAGATTGATCAGCTTGAACACCGGTTCCTGAGCCATTTCTTCTGGTGTATGCCTCGAAAACACCTGAGAACCTCTCGCGGCTGTCCTGCCCAACTGTATATGATTCAGCGAAAAGTTTGTTAATATCTGAGTTTCTTCTACAAGCGTTAAAGCTGTGTAATAACTACTTGACCACAACAAAAACTGAATCATTGATTTTGGGTACGGCATAACAATACATCTTGAACCGGAGAGAAAAGATGGATTAATTCAGCCCAAAACCAAATCGGGTATACACAGAACGAGAGCAGTTACAAGGATGAAAAGTTATTCTACCAGTGATTGTAAAGTTTTAGTATTTGATGCTTACTTGAAGGCTTTTCCGCTTTGTCGGCAGATGGTACTGGAATATTCATAGCCGGTCTTAAACTTGGCTATTGGAACAGGAAAAGCGTGAGAAGGTTGATACACTATTCAAAATGATAACAATTCTGCACATATAGGTAGCTTCAGAATGGACTTACTCTTGGTTTGGAATTGGAGCTGGAACTGGAGCCGAACTGTGGATACCTCAATATTGTCCAATCAAATACATAGTCAAACTGATAACCTGTGCAAATAAGAATCAAAGCAATTTCTTGAGTGTGTTTTATGTTAAAAACACTCAAACACAAGCACATCAGATAGTTATTTTTGACAAATTCCCAACCTTCTCGGATAAATAGTTCTCTGAAAAGCCTCTTTAGGTATGAATAATCTGGTTTGTCTTCAAACCGTAATGAACGCACATAGAGAAAATACGATGTGAACTCAGGTGGAAAGTTTTTACAGAGGACCTGTCAAAGACAATTTTAAGGTTAAAATTATTATCACAGAACATCTCAAAAGCTCAAGTCTGAAGTACTTCAGTATCAGAACTTTGAATTCAAAAATACTGCAAAACCTTGCAAGTCAATATACGAAAGAAGTTTATATTTATTGGAGCGGGAAACAATACCTCCACTGGTGTAAGTCTTTTCTTTTCACTGATCTTGTCATACTTCTGCTTTTTGGTACCTGCACGAAGGCCTTGCCAAGGAAGGCTGAAACAGAAATTAAGGATCAGGCATAACTATCATGATAGGGAAGAAAAACAAAATACAGATTTATCAATTTACCTTCCTCGAAGAAAATACATAAGCACATAGCCAAGAGATTCCAGATCATCCCTTCTACTTTGCTCTGTGTATTATATTAAATATTTATTAAGAGACTGATGAATTGTCAAGTCTGATGGAAAAACAAAGAAGACTCACCAATTCCAAGATGGGTGTTAACACTTGCATATCGAGCTGTTCCTGTAAGATTCTTGTTTTCCCTAAGAAGTAACACTCCCGATTAACAAAGTGATAGTCATTTAAGAAAACAGATGAACTTTGGCATTTGGGTAAAAATATTGTGTGACAGAAAACAAACAAGTTGAAACAACTTGTGAGTTAAACACAGAGCCGGATTCATTCTACATGATGAGACAATGTAAGTACCTGTATGGAATATGCTTGTGCGTTTGAAGATCTCTATACTTCTTGGCAAGGCCATAGTCAATGATGTACACCTGCAAAGGAAGAAACAAAGATGTAATAAAGAAGAAGAGAAACAGATGTATCCTTGCCTAAGTCTTATGAAAAACTCACCTGGTTGGCTTTGCGTCCAAGACCCATCAAAAAGTTATCTGGCTTGATATCACGATGAAGAAACCCTCGTACATGCATATACTCGACTCTATTTATCTGGAAAATTTGAAACTGGAATGTGTCAGTACATGTAATGAAAGAGAAGAGCAGAAGAAAGGAAAAAGTAATAACCATCTGATCTGCGAGCATTAGAACAGTCTTAAGAGTGAAGGATCGACTGCAATAGTTGAAAAATTCCTCCATACTAGGACCGAGAAGGTCGATCACCATACAGTTGAATTCACCCTCAACACCAAACCATTTGAGGTGAGGAATACCAGCTTCAAACAACACAAAAACATATATATATATATATATATATATATATGAATAAAAAGAAAGAAGAAAGAGTGAAGAGTCAAATGCAGAACCTACTTCCTCCTTGGAGAAGCATATAAAGCTTTGACTCGTAATGAAGCTGAGGATGCCTAGCTCGGAGAGGTTCCTATACGTTAAGAAGCAAATATCGAGTATAAACACTAAAGACAAGTGATCATTAAGACACTATAATATTGAGATAAGAGAATTGCAACTTACAAGTTTAACAGCCACTTCTTCTCCAGTTTGTACATTCACTCCTGCAAACAAAAAACAGATTCAGAGAAAAAGTAAAGACAGTTATTTATACACAAGAAAAAATATGATAAAAAAGTAAGAAATGAAGAATACCTAGGAAAATTTCACCAAAGGAACCACTTCCAAGCTTACGTCCGAGCTTGAACTTACCACCAACTACACGATCCATTTTTCACCAAAGGATTCTTTTTTTTCTTCAAACCCAGTTCAAGCAAAATAAAAACCCAGATCACCGATTGCGTCGCTAAAATCCGATCGAATGGATATATATATATATATACACACCTAGATCGATTTCTTCTAGCTACGAAATCAATCAACAAAGAGGAAAAACTAGAAATTCGAGTAAAAATCCTCAGAATTTCTTCTGCTAAAAGAAACAAAATTAACAAAGACAGACACTTTCGATCGTTGGATGATGAATCCAAAGTGTTTTTGACCCAAATCGGATTTAAGAAAATAACCTAAAAAGTAGTCTTCTTAACATGACAAACTTAGCTTCTCTGCTACAACCAAACTGAAACTATCCATTTACAATCAACCATCATCGAGATGCAACTAAACAAAGCTTCAGACTTTTTAGATCACAGAAAACTAAAACAGATGTTCTGCTCGAAAATCGGTAGAAACTGAAGATGAAATTAAAAGGGAAAAGCAAGGAAGAACAATAAAAAACGCGGCGAGAGAAAATTATCGATTTGATGTGGAAATCTGAGTTTTATTTTCTACGGAAAAAAGTAGAAGAGAGAGGCTTGCATTTGTATTTTGCCTTATCTTGATGATGAATTAGACAAAAAGGTCAACAACTACTACTCTCTCTCTTTGCTTTAGTTGCGTACTTATTTGTATAATCCTCTTCCCACATGCTTTTTTATGTAAATTATTAACCTTTACCTTATCTTTTTTTTTTTTTTTTTTTATATTTCATTTTGGCATTAATATTACAAGGAAGAAAACATCTTAGTCACCATATAATACAACAACAAATGGGTCCATCTTTAATTATATTAAAAATCTTCTAGTGTATAAATTACATATTTAACTTTCGAATTGGATGCTCTTCATTTAATATTTTAAATCAGTGAATAGAGAATAATTTGTTTTATCACTTTTGTCGGCATTTATTAAAATTTCACGTTTTGAACCATTTTTAAAATGGACATAGAAATAATACTTAATTCTTTTCTCATTTTGAGAACAAACTAATGTCTAAGTTTGTTTGCTTTTTTTGTTGAACTAATCAACATCTAAATTGAATTTGTCAATAGTTATCTTCTTCTATTGATTATGAAATTATCCAAAAGTCTAGTCAATTTATAATCTGTTTTACTTTTTCTTCAATAATTAAACATATTATGCCGACACCAAAGTTAACATTCTAACCAAACACATTCTAGCCAAACATTAACATATTCTTAAGAGTTGAAAATATATTTATTCTAGAGAGTTAAGACTTAAGACTTAAGATAATACCAGTAATAAATACATAAGAAACATCGAAACAGAAAAATTAAAGAATGTTTCAAGAAAGTAAGAAACAATGTATAATTTTAGTATTTTATATAATCATGCTTATGTCGTACAAATCAAACTACAAAAATCAAAGTAAAACTATATAATAAACTTGTGGGATAAATCAATTTCTTTCTCTTTGTTTTTTCTTCTGCTTTTCATATGTTTTACTCAGTGTCCCTAAGGCTTTCACTGGTGAGCCACAGTTTCTTCTGGACAATGAAAACCACATTGTTCTCACCATCTTCACTGTCTTGGTCGAGTTCTGAACCTGTATTTACCTTCTCTGATGCCACAGTCTCCCAATGCAAAGCCTGCAAATACTTCTTGATTGATTCAACTACACTTTGCTTATCTCTGATGATAACGAATCCTGTAGGTCTAAGAATCCGATCCATCTCGATTAAGAGATCCTCTGCGCTGCATCCTTTGCTTTTAATGTCTGTAAATATTGACCATGCGTGCAACAGATCGTATGTTCGCGGATATGTAGAGAAAGCCTCGCACCTAAATTAAACCAGAAACAAACAAAAGGAATGGTGAAAATGTGTAACTATTGTCACAATTGAGGGAAAGTTTTCGATTTTCAGGTTTCGAGTGTGTACCAGTTATGATTTGTCCCGATTAAACCGCGGTCATAGATCAGTTTTAGAGTGTTGGGACCGTCGGGAGAGACAACGTTCATCACCCAGACATCTTTGTCTTTAAGAGCAGCCGCGAAAGAACCTATGTGAGCTTTCATGTCCATTATGTTCCTCACAGTGTTTGATTTGACTTTTGATGACATCAAATTCCAGTAACTGTCCACTTGTTGTTTCCAAAGTTCCTGTATAAAAAGAAGATAAGCAAAGCAATGTGCTTTTTCAATAAGTCTGTGGAAGAACGATTAAGTAAGATCAATGGTAGCGAAAAGATTGAAGTTTTAGTACCGTGTCCTTCTCAAAAATGTCGGTTGAATAACCGAAATCCGCAAGACGGGGAGGAGAAGAAGTCAACCTAGCTGGCCAAGGAGCTAACCCACTTCCCTTGGTTTTATGGTCATCTGTATTTCAGAAAAACAGAGCATGACTGTGACATATAGCATACAAAACCAACCAGAAAACAAAAGATCTGGTCCTAATTTCTCAAAACTCAAAATAACCAACGGAACAGAAAAAAGCAAATACTTACGCTTGGAGTAAGGAGTGATGCAAGCTTCCATTGCCACACCTGCAACCGCATCAGGATCAGCATCTGAGCGACAGAGAGGAGGCTGTGTCCCGGGCTCTCTCTCCAAGTAACAGTCATTACTCAACGGTTTCTGCCAAACCACAGTTTGGTTTCTTTTAACAGCGATTCTCCAACACATTCTTTCAACAAGAGCACTCATCTCTTTCCAGATTTTCAAATTTTCTTCATCTTGCGCGTAAGCCTCAGGAGACGAATAAGCGAAATAACCACCCGGTCTTAGTACCCGGTCGAGCTCAAGAAGAAGGAGTCCATCTCTTTGAAGCCAATCGATCCTACATCGAGAACAATGAGCTAGCTCGAATGATCTGCTCGGGTAAGGAAGCCTTTTGGTACCTAAAACACCAAGATAAGCAGGGATTCCTCTTTCTAATGCAAATTGGATTTGGTTCTGGTGAACATCATTAGGGGCTAATGACATTGTGATTATATCAGATGCGAGAAGGTAAGCTCCAAAACTTGCAACTCCGCATCCGACATCAAGAACCGTTCTTAATCTCCCTTCGTCATTCAGTACATCGTTCGAAAAATTAAGCATCTGCGAGTAAAAAAAAACATTAGAAACAAGTTATCACTAGAAAAAAGGTGAGCAAAAGACGCTTACATTTGCGATTGATGCAATGTATTTATCAGCACCGTAATGGAAATGAGTGCCTCCACCGGGGAAAGAAATTTTCTCGCCTTTCTCAACCATCCAATTCTGATCAGACTTCTCTTTTGCAAGGTGAGTGTGAGGTATGTTGGCTTTCCACACTTCATCTCTACTCTTAGGCCACTTAATAGGAACCTAAACGCACATCAATACAAAGAACAAAACAATCAAGACAAGGTACCAGAAACCATTCACAAATCAAAGCAAAACAAGAAAGCAAATTTGGCAACCTTGTAGCCAGATGGTGGAGGAATCAAACAATTAAACCGTCTTTCGGGAGGAGGGCAATGCCGTTCATAATGTTCCATTAGAGATAGATCAAGCTTCAACCTCATTTGGTAGATGAAATTCCTGTCTAAGCAAGGGATGATTTCCGAGTACCGATCATCACAAACCTTAGCAAAATATACCATAAGTTAGCTTTACATGAACATATCTCTAACACAGTTACCAGACCTGAGAATCTGATCAAACTTACAGGAAAACTTTTGGCGACAACAAGACTGTCTTCTGCATTGGTGACAGAATCCTCCTGTTTGGTATCACCATTATCATCATCTCCACCCAAATAAGAAGATCCGAGTTTTCTCAAAGATCTTCCATATTCCAATGCTGATGCACCTTGGCTAGAGGAACCATAGTACATAAACAAGAAACAGACGAATAAAGCCACGACACAAACAGAAGCAATAAGCCGCTTCTTTAGGCCTCCATCAGATCTCCCTCTCATCATCCAACCGTAATTTCCTCCCAAACCAAACAACCAAAAGAGCTCTTCAGAGTCTTGTTAATAGAATGCTCTCTCCCAGAAAGAGTTTCTGCAGAAATCAAGAACAGAACACTTAAAAAGAAAATGACTTTAAAGCATAAAGTTTGGTAAAAAGCCACTGGCACTTAAATAAACAGAACATGATAAATTCAAAGTTGTAAAAAACAGACTTGGAAGATTCAGATCCGTGTTTATTGGGTCAGAAACCAAGTTAAGTGTAAACCAAGTAAGTAACATAAGTGTTATAAAATGGCCACCGACAAGTTTTGTTTTTTTTTGGGTACACAGTCAAAGATTGGATATTTATGAAATTAAATAGAAGTAGTAGTAGATCTGAGAGTAGAGTATCCATTTTACGGGAGAGCTTTTAATGAAAGTCTCACTCAATTTCCCAGGAAAAGTAAAAAAAAAAAAAACGCTCTCATTGATTAACGAATATCTCAGAGAATGAGATGGAAGCAAAATACGAATCGAAAACGAATGAAAACCCAGAAGAAGGAAAAATCGAAAACTAACCGACCAAGAAGAGTCACAACCACTGTCCACTGAGAGAGATCCGAGAGTGAATGAAAGTAACGATCTTTTTTGCATATAAATAAAAAAGAAAACTTTATAGATTCAGATCTCCTCCTCGAGGAAGGAATGATACCTTTTTTCACTGGCGAAATGTTTATTCCTATATTTGGGAGATAGGTACATTGTTTTCGTTGTAAAGGTCTCTTTCCATGTCCACACTGTCGACTTGCTGTTAAATCTTTTTTATTTCCCTTTTTTATTTGTGTATTTAATTTCTTTGGGCCAAGAAGATATTAGATATATATGTAAATCTACTAAATCAACAGTCATTTTAACAAAAACTGTAGTATTCTTCTTTTGATATGTGGCATAAATCTCATTTTTTACTGTTTTACTTTCACGTTAGATTTTCTTTTTCACCCACAGAAAAATCTTTATCTTTTCCAATACATAAAACAAAATCTTTATCTTTTCCACTTTCTCCTTGCCACGTTCTCCACCTCTAATCCTCCCAAATTTTTATGAACTATAAAATCTGAAACATGGTTCTCATTGCCATTCATCTCAGAAATCAGGTATTTTCTTCGTCTAAAAAACAAATTTATAGTTTCTATAGATCTCCATCTCCTATTTATGTTTTTTAATTCCTTAAATCTGTCAAAAATAATGCTAAGTCCCTACATAGCAGGGGCCATAATGCTAATTATATATATATATATATATATATATATATATATATATATATATATATACTTAAAGAGAGATATTGTTACAACTTACAACAAAATATTTTATTGGGTTTTCAAGATTTCACATAATGCGTTTTATAATTCCATCTTTAATAAGTAACAACAACCCCCACATGATGTTTATCTTCTTGCAATTTTAATGGAATAAATTTAGTTTGCTTTCTATGAAAAATCTGACGATAAAAAATACAGTTGCCTATATGGAGAAGTCAGAGTCACTGCAGACTCACAGGCCATTAACACGGAATAAAATCAATCCGTGAACGCGTTTTTATTCAGTGTGTCGGTCGTTACTGATTAATGACTCCAAATCAGTGATTTATTCATTAACCATGCAACTTGTATTATTCAATTAATTTGTTTTAATCGTTATATTAATTTCGTTCGTTCGACACACTCGTGAAAACTGAAAAAGGTGGATGACCGACGAGATCTAGATCTGACCATTAAATTGTGTTCTCATTTCCTAAATATTTTTAATAATTAGGTAAATTTCCACGACAAACACTATTTTTTTTTGTTAATTTTTAAATAAAGTTTGCTCTCACTAAATAATAAAATAGTTAAAGCTGTAAAAAATTTTGTGAATACATTCAATTAAATTAAATATTTATGTTCATTCAAACATATTTTCTCGTTCAGTTTTTTAAAATAAATCAGTAATTATAATTATTTTACTTCCTTTTGTTTATTATTTTACTCTTACTCTTTCATTTTATATATTTTAATATTATATAATATGTTTTTTCTATTTTAAATATTACATGATAATTTTACAAAAGCAGAATTTAAAAGGATCAAAACAATAAATAATAATAAAATATTACATGAAATTACATAATTGACTAAAATGTTTCTAAAGTGCTTTAACCCAATATAAGCTTCAACTGCTCTGATTTTCAAGTCTGCTCCTTTGCTTCAACTAACTTTTTTTTGACTAAAAAGCTTCGACTAAGACTAGTACTCATGCTTCGACTAAAGTGATATGCGACTAAAATCGACCCAGCTTATTGGCCCCGGCTTCTACGCCCCGTTTCTTTGCCCCCGCTCGGCTTCTTTGCCCCGACTTTTGCCCCGACTTCTTCGCCCCAACTTCTTCGCCCCAACTTCTTCGCCCCGACTTCTCCACCCCGTTTCTTCGCCCCGGTTTCTTCGCCCCAGCTTCTTCCATTCGCTAAGGGCTTCTTCGCCCTCGCCCTCGCCCTCGCCCTCGGCTTCTTCCTGTACTTCTTCGCCCCGGGCTTCTTCGCCCGTACTTCTTCGTCTGTACTTCTTCGCCTCCCCCCCGACTTCTTGCCGACTTCTTGCCCCAGGCTTTTCCCCCGGCTTTGCTTCTTCAGCTTGTTCTGGCTCGGCTCCCAGCTACTTCGTCCCGGCTTCTTCATCCCTGCTTATATTCGCCACGGCTTCTTCACCACGGCTTCTTCACCTTGAGAATCTCAGCGAGTGGTCTACTGATTCCTGAAGTTGGAACATCGTTCTCTGTTTCAGTAGAGAAGCGACGAACACCCTTCCCCATCTCCGACGACCATCCCCTCGATACAGTAGCTGCTCCGCTCCTCAACATCCATTTCGCCGCCTTTAGCCGTAACCCTAACCCCGCCATTACAATCGCCGGTCAAAATTCTTACAGGTCGCCGCTCCTTTTAATGGTGTATCTTACTTAAGAAGATCTTAACAAAAATCGTAAGAATAAAATAATTAAAATTAAAGCAAAACAAAGAAAAATGCTAAGAATCACTTCTTAGCTAAGAGTTTTTAGATTTGTTAAGATGTCGTGATGTGTCTTGTTGTGATTGGTTCAGCAGTAATAACAAAACATCCCTGTTTTTTTCTTCTCCATGGCGGTCTATTCAGGCCGGCGACGACGACGGTGAAGAATTGATTAGGTCTCTTTCTTCTTCTTCTTCTGGGGCCTCGCTAGACCCCAAAATCGATTTGGAGGAGGCCGCGACACAGCTCGAAAAGTCTTCGTCTTCGCAGTCTCCATACAAAGGAAGAAATTTCTACTGGGTGTTTCTTGGATGTCCTGGTGTTAGTAAAGCAACCTATGCCTCTCGTCTCTCTTCTCTCCTCGGCGTTCCTCATATTGTCACTGGTGATCTCGTTCGTGAAGAGCTCTCCTCCTCTCAGGTTAGAATTTCTCAATTGGCGATTAATTGTGTAGCCTGTGTGGTTCTTTTTGTTATGCTCTGTGAAGAACACAGAGATCAATAGATTCTAAAATTTTTAGATTTTAATTTGTGTGTTCGATGATCTTGAATTGAGTTTGCTTAGAAAATTGATCTCAGTGAAACCTTGTTTGATGTTGAATTTTGGTTGTTATAGGTCATCAGATTTTTCCTTTAAAATGAGAATTCTTTTGGTATAAGGAGGATCAACATGATATATATATATATATATATATATATATATATATATCGTGTGTAGAACTAGAACAGGGGTTGAATCATTGAGTTATGTGATCAGCCATCACATGTGTTTTTAATTGTGTGTTTGATGATCTTGAATTAGTTTACTATATGTTAGAGATTACTATATGTTAGAGACATTGTGTTTTAGCACTAAATTCCTTTAGCGTGACTCTTAATATTGATTACAGTTGCTGGAAGATAACTGTATATATGGCGAGTTTTGTGATTAACGTAATTTCTTCACCTTTCGCCCTGGCTTGTTTCTTCGCCCTGGCTTGTTTCTTCGCCCTGGCTTGTTTCTTCGCCCTGGCTTGTTTCTTCGCCCTGGCTTGTTTCTTCGCCCTGGCTTGTTTCTTCGCCCTGGCTTGTTTCTTCGCCCCGGCTTCTTCCTGTACTTACTCGGCTTACCCGTCTCGACTTCCTGTTTCGCCCCGCTCGCTCTCGGGGAAGGAGCCGAAGGAGCATGGTCGCCAGGACAATCGCCAGGACAATCTTCCTCGGGGCGAACGAATGGGGAGATTATATGTTATCAGCCCCGCTTCCTCGAGCTCGGGGAGCTCGAGCTCCTTCCTTCCCCGAGGCTCCTTCCCCGAGGCTCCTTCCCCGAGGCTCCTTCCCCGAGGCTCCTTCCCCGAGGCTCCTTCCCCGAGGCTCCTTCCCCGAGGCTCCTTCCCCGAGGCTCCTTCCCCGAGGCTCCTTCCCCGAGGCTCCTTCCCCGAGGCTCCTTCGCCCCGCCCCTTCGTCTCAGCTCCTTCGTCCCTTCCTTGAAGCCCCGCCCCCCGCCCCGTTCCTTCGCCCCGCCCGTGGCTCCTTCGCTCGCCCCCTCTTTCGCCCCGAGGCTTCGCCCGCCCGTGGCTCCAGCCTTCGTCTGCCGGCTTGGCTTTGGCGCCTTAGTCCTCGCCCCGACCTTCGGCCCGCCCCGCCGCCCCGACCTTCGGCCCGGCCTCCTCCTCCGCCCCGAGACCTCCTCCTTCGAATAAGTTTTGACTAAAGAGAGTTATGACAAGTGCTTCGAATAAGTTTTCACTAAAGAGACGTAGCTTCTTGGTGATTATAGTGTTTTATTTTTAGTGGGCCTTTTTGATGGATTAAGTGTTTCGACTAAATATTTCAAAATTTTAACTAAGGTTCTTTTCAACTAATATTAACTAAGGTGAGTTTGGATAAAAAGAAATTTATTTTTGACTCTAAAATGTATTTTGATTTTATTGTTTACGAATTTTGTTCGAAACGTACTCTAAAAAAATTCTTTGAGTGTGGTTTTTATATATATTAAATGTTCAAAATTATGTGTTTCGACTAAAAAGAGTTTCATTTAAAACTATTGTTGATCCTAGTCGTTACTTGGAAAGCAGTGAAAATTTTTACCTGGCGGGAATTGCAATTCATGTTTGGACTTTTTGCTCTAAGTAGTGGAAATGTTGTTGGCTTGAAAGCTCTCTGTCCTCCTCATCAGAATAATTCCTTGCAAGAAAAAATTATTTTGATTAATTATATATCAAGACTATATGTATAATCAAAAAAATAATAACAAAAAATATGAGACTCATAGTATATAAAACATTGCACCGTGATTATTTAGCATATCAACAAGAATAGCACAGAATCAAAATCAACAAGGGCCAAAAAATTCAAAACAAAGCACTACGAGCCAGGAGAAGTAAAATCCGAGTGAATAAACTGGAAATTAAACTAGATAGAATAAACACTTATGTAAAAGATCTAGATAGGTAAGAAACTGGAGATTAAACTAGATAGTCACATTTTCAGAGATAGTTAAGAAACTGGAAATTAAACTTGATAGAGAAAACACTTATGTAAAGATATGGACACATTCGTGAATTTAAAAACAAAAGGAGGGCTGAGTTTTGGCAATATTAAGACTGGAAAAATCAGTTACTAAATAAAACGTGTATCAAAGTAACTCACACCTTATGATTTGCTGAGTTTTGCCGCCGGAGATGAAGCAAGAGAGAGACATGAAGATACGAGAGACTAAAGTTTCTATTTACATCTTTTTGATTAGATTTTTTTAACGAAAACGATGGTTGTGTGTATTATATATAGACAAGTTTTATTTACCGTTGGGAGAAATTAATTACAAACGGATAGTTTCTGAATTTTGAAATAAGTTACCGTTTTAAGTTACCCTTCTGACATATCACAAACGGCTAACTCAGAGTTACCGTTCTATTCGCAACACGTGTACACTTAAAACTACACTACTTTAAGTTGTATTCCTCCTGGGCTATCGAGATCGGCCCAAACCCATCATCTTTTTTAATTTTTACATGTCCAATATAAGGCTTAATGGATAAATTGGATCTGGTTAAGGTCCACTATAGATCAATAAAAGCGTTGAAACGTTTTGCATCTGTGGTACATTATTCTTACATGAGAGTAATGTATATCTATCATATCATAAACAACTGTAAGAAACGTTTTCAAAAAAAAAAAAAAAAAAAAACAACTGCAAGAAACATTTGCCCAAAAAAAAAAAACAACTGTAAGAAACAAATTCAAGCTATATATAACTTATGAGAAACCTTCTTTTCTTTCAAACGAAAGAAGGGTCTTTGAACCTTTTGAAAACGTTGTCGATGTCTGCCATAACTTCCTGCGAAAACGGCCGCTCAGTCATTAGAAAAGCATCAATGTCTTCTTTAAGTTGCTCTACCGATGTGGCCCCGATGATCGTGCTTGTCACAAAGGGCCTGTCACGTACAAACCCAAGTGCTAACTCAACCGGAGTTAAACCGTGCTTCTTCGCCACCTCTACGTATTGTATCGTTGCTTCCTAAGATCGGAAGAAAAATAAAACTGACCTCAAAAAACTTTCACGAAATGGCTTTACAACAATATTAGAGCTCACGACATAAAAAGAAGTAAGTATAGTTGGATCAAGAACAAACCTTGGCTAGGGATCCCTTGTAACGTTCCATATATCCTGGGAAAAGATTCAGCCTTGCATTTTTTGTAGCTTCTTGGTCTGTAACCAAGTATTTCCCAGACAACGAGCCGCCTCCAAGAGGGGAATAAGCAAGCAAGCCAACATTGCAGTTTTTTGGGTGGCATACTTCTACCAGATCAACTGTGATTTTTAACACAAAACCAAAAGAGTTTAGAACATGCTCCTCCGACACTCTTGCTCTCTAGGTATTCTAGAAAGATTTACCTTCATACCGACATCTAACTAGCAAGCTGTAACCATTCTGGATGCTCACAATCTTTGGTAGTCCTTCGAGTTTTGCTGTGTTAACAAACTCCATCACTCCATACGAAGTTTCATTCGAGACACCGATGTAGCGAACCTGTTACAGAATTCGAGGAACACTTCAAGATTCTGTATTTGAGGTTTACAGTAAGGATTTTTTTATAACTCAATATAAAATCTGATTTTTAAGGAGTAGCACTACCTTTCCTTCATCTATGAGATCCTTAAAGGCTCTTAGTTGCTCAGCGAATGGCACACTAGGTCTCCATTTCGATGTGTCATAGTAGAAATCACCAAAGAGTGGTACGTATCGATCTGGCCTGGACTGAAAAAAACATCAGTATCATGATTTTCTGACATTTGATGATGAATATAGAAATATTTCGCGTATGAAATAGAAAAAGCCTTGATCACATAATGAAGCATATGAGTTCGACTTAAAGCAAAAAATAAGGCGATGTTACCAGTGTATTTGAAGCAAATCAATGTAATCAGTTCCAAGGCGCTTAAGACTTTTCTCAACACTTTCTTTGATATTAGCAGCATCTACACGCAGAACCTCACCACTGTCCCTTATGTAAGATGATCTTTCTGAGTACCCACATACTTTAGTTGCCAAAACTATCTGTATACAGGAAAAAAAAAGAACATCAATATAAACTTTTATAACTTGGAGTAGGTTTGCTGATATCATATACATTCTTGACCATCAAATTGACAAAGACAGTGATTACTTCACACGAACGATAAGAACTTCAAAGAGTAAAGGCCCGCATAAATAATTGGTTATATATCAGTCAATAGGAATCCAAGGACTGCAGCACTACAATATGCATCCAAAGCATGACAGATGGTAATACCTTGTCACGTTGCTGAGACTTCAACCAGCTACTGATATAAAGATCCGTTTTTCCTTGGGTCTCCTTCTTCATCGGTATGGGATACTGGAAAGAAAAGTGGATTGAAAAATTACCACACGACTAAGCAGATGTCAGAAAGCTAAACACAACTGTTCAAATCTTTTTTTTTTTCATCAACTACATATTGCTGTTTGTTTAGAACAAACACATATCACCGTTCCAAGTTCCAAATCGTTGAAACAACAGACCTCGTTCTGTAAGTTCTTACAACAATACTCAAGTTCTTTCACCAAAAAAGCATTAATCAAGTTGCACAATAAACAAAATGATATTTTCCATAAACCAAAGAACACTACTATATCTACTACTATAAAACATTCAAACACTTGCATTCATTCATATTCACAAAACAAGTAGAGAAACATGAACAATTAAGATAAAATCTCACAGCTTCAGCAGTGTCAATGCAATTGATGCCCTCTTCAATTGCATAACTCAACATCTCATGAGATTCTTTCTCAGTATTTTGCTCCCCAAATGTCATCTGATATTCCAAATTTCCATCAAAACTTCAAGTATTGAACAATGAACTACACTTTCAGGAGATAAAATAGATTCATCTTACAGTGCCCATAGTAACTTCGCTGATGTTAAGATCGGAGTCTCCTAATTTTCTGTACTCCATTGCATTCTTCGTCGACGCTTTCGCCGAAATTCTCAATAGTCTCCTCCGAGCATTCGGCGATAGAGTTACACGGCGGCGGGTGAATGCCAAGCGAGCTAAGCCTCGAGTGTCGCTGCCGCTGACCACCGGAGTGACCGTTGAGAAGGTGACGTAAGATGACGCCATCCCGGAGAATGTATTGGACGTGATTCTCGCCTTATCGCCACCATTATCTAGAGTTAAAAAAAGTCACGGATTTGAAAACTCTGGGCTAAATGAGTTTGGGCCTAATCTTAAAGGCCCATTGGAATATCTTGTTTTCCTAATATGATAAGTGTAATCTCAGATTTCCATTTATTTCTTCGAGATAATATGATTATATTAGATGACGTGGCATGATACATCCTTCGATATCTTCTTCGATAAATACACAAAAAAAGAGTGAGCTTCACGGACACACCAAAGCAGCTGACTCTACGCTCTCTCAAAAGTCGAATATCCCAACTTCGATCCGTTTTCCGGCGATAATCTCCGATCTTGATCCGATGGCCAAAGAACCAGTTCGTGTACTCGTCACTGGAGCTGCAGGTATAACTTTAAATCTATATCCGATCAGATCGTGTAACTTCTATTTCTGGTTTTAGATCTCTGGCTAGTGTATCGCAAAGCTCTTGTTTACTCCAGTCAGATCTCTGCATAGTCTTTGGTTGTACCCTAGATCGATGAAAGATAGGTCGACGCTTGTTTCGTTAGATCTGGGAGTATGTATTTGTTGGATCTTAAGTTTGCTAGGCTTGAAATTCGTCTAAAGTACTAGGATTCTTATAGTCAGCGTTTGAATGAATCAGCTGACTTCATGCAAGAACCATCAAGTATTTCTCCTTAAATTTAGCCATTCTCTGTTCTCTTTCTGTAGAGGTTTGATCTGTAAATAGACATTTTACCCGCAAACGCTCAAGTCAGCTCTAATTTTGTTAATTTTATTATCGTCTATTAATAAACATTTCATACTGGTTGGATTCAACGTTGACCAACTATTGATTGAGTTGCTTGCATATATGATTTTGGGATGGATTATTTCATGGATTGAACTCTGATTTGGAAACCTTCTTTGTTTATATTATTGGATATAGTTTATAAGTTTTTACTTTAGCTACTGAAGTAACTAACTATTGTGATTATGCAGGACAAATCGGATATGCTCTTGTTCCTATGATTGCCAGGGGAATCATGCTTGGTGCTGACCAACCTGTTATCCTCCACATGTTGGATATTCCTCCTGCTGCTGAAGCTTTGAACGGTGTTAAGATGGAGTTGATCGATGCTGCCTTCCCTCTTCTCAAAGGTTGTTTGAGTTTTTTAAGCTTTGTTTTCGTGTTGCTTTAACTTTCTTTTTTCCACTGTTAAGATTTGCATTCCATGCCATAAGTTGTTCTGCTCAAGTAGGAAAGATATTGAGTATTTGGTGTGTATTATTATCAGGTGTTGTTGCTACAACTGATGCCGTTGAGGGATGTACTGGAGTCAATGTTGCTGTTATGGTTGGTGGTTTCCCGAGGAAAGAAGGAATGGAGAGGAAGGATGTGATGTCCAAGAATGTCTCTATTTACAAGTCTCAGGCTGCTGCCTTGGAGAAGCATGCCGCTCCAAACTGCAAGGTGATGGGATCTGTTTCACTTTTTTAATAAAATGAAGCCATTTCATCCAATTTTTGCTGTTCATTCGAGTGTAACAGATGCTTTGTATTCTCTGTTGGCTCTAGTTTGTGACTCTCTTTCTCAGACATTCTTTCATTTATTTATTTATTTCAGGTTCTTGTTGTGGCCAACCCCGCGAACACCAACGCATTGATCCTCAAGGAATTTGCACCATCCATCCCTGAAAAGAACATCTCTTGTTTGACAAGGCTTGACCACAACAGGGCATTGGGTCAGATCTCTGAGAGGTTGAGCGTGCCAGTGTCTGATGTTAAAAACGTTATCATCTGGGGAAACCACTCATCCTCACAGTACCCAGATGTCAACCATGCTAAAGTGCAGACCACCTCTGGAGAGAAGCCTGTCCGTGAGCTCGTCAAGGACGATGCATGGTACTTATGTCATGCCATAGAACTTAAGACCCTTTCTTTTCTCTTGAAGCAGAATCTAATTTCATTTAAATATTTGCTCATTGTGTAGGTTGGACGGGGAATTCATCTCTACAGTTCAACAACGTGGAGCTGCAATCATCAAGGCGAGGAAGTTGTCTAGTGCGCTTTCTGCTGCTAGCTCCGCTTGTGACCACATCCGTGACTGGGTTCTTGGAACTCCAGAGGTTTATAATAAAACTCTTCCCCGTTATTTGCAGTGCGGTTTATAATAGTTGTTCTAATATGATCTTTCTTTGATTTGATTGGTCAGGGTACGTTTGTTTCCATGGGAGTATACTCCGATGGCTCTTACAACGTTCCATCAGGACTTATCTACTCCTTCCCTGTAACTTGTCGCAATGGAGAGTGGAGTATTGTCCAAGGTAAATACAAGCTCTGACAAACTCAATAATTAAACCCTATTTGTGCCTACTCTAATGTGTATTTTGTTTGGTTAGGCCTTCCGATTGATGAAGTATCAAGGAAGAAGATGGATTTGACTGCGGAGGAGCTCAAGGAAGAGAAGGACTTGGCGTACTCATGCCTCTCTTAAACCCTTCTGAAGCAATTTTTCACCTATAAGGTGTGAGATCATTTAAAGTTTTCAGGGCTTTGTCGGAATAAGAAGTTTGTTTAAGGTATTTCAAAACACTGTTTAATAACCTCTTTGTGGGGTTGTCTCGTTAATGAGCATTGTCCCTGGTCTGTTTCTAAACCAGGATATCGTTTATACTTTAGTCTATGTTCCTGATTTGGTTTACCCATAAAAAGGAAAATATGCAATTCCATGGACCATGGTTATCTTCATCAATTAGCCCAAAATTGACGAGTTCTTCGGTAATGGGTTTGTGCAACTGTGCGGAATGGTGTTATTGTGTTGCAAAAAGAAATGCTACTCTTGCAGATTCATACCAAAATCAAATGACTAGATTGAACTGAAATTTTAATAGGGATTACTTATAATTTTTCTTCATCCAAAAAATGTATAACCAAACATCAAATTGAACTGTAAATAACTAAATATACATCCAACAGATTGAACCTTTTTACATCTTCAAAAAGAAATAGATATTTTATTAGTAAGACCAACACAATTTATCTACTCGAATTAGATTGTTTCTATTTTTCGACGATCCGATAAATCCGAAATCGAATCATAAACCATAGGCAAAATGATCCACTAACTAGGGTATATGAGGATTCAAAGTATGAGAGAATTTTTATCTTCCCTTTTTCCTTTTGTAAAGTAAAAGCAGTGGATTTTGATAATCCCTAGATTCTATCTACTTGGTAATGAGAATCAAGTTCTCACCTTTAAGCAATATACAAAATAAATAAGCCACATATAGACTTAGATATTTAATGGATTCTACAAAAGTGGGCATGACCAGAAGAATCGAGTTCATGAACCACCGTCCTCGGCCCCAACGTTAAAAAACCTTTTTTCTCTAGCATAAGAAGATAAGAGTATCTTCACTGCACTTTAGGCCCACTCAACAATCAAACAAAATTCGATCTCTTATAAAAATATCTTATTACAGAAAGTTCGTAGATGATCCCAATAAAATCGTAGATTAGCAAATCAAAGATGAGATGTCGGTAAAAAAAAAAAAACACTAATATAAGAACATACGCCACTAGTTGTGGATAAAGTTGTCTACTTTTGTCTCGTTGTAATTATTATATTGCACAATTATTTACATTCATACTCTCATGGGTATGTTTTTCGTCTCCGTTAGATCTCAAATCTTTAACTTTGCATACCCAAAATAGGAAGAAAGAAGAGTCAAGTCATTAAAATATCCTTCACAGTCTTTGATTCTAAGCTCGTTGAAGATCTTTGTCGCCAAGAGATATCCTCTCTGATTTGAGTTCTGGTAAAATGTTTCCAGCTTTTGATTTTTGTTTCCTTTAATTGAAATTCTCTTGCTTGCTCTGTTTTAAGTATTAGGGTTAAATCGAATCCGTTCCTGTATGTTTAGGTAGATTATTTTGGATTTAGGACTTAAAAGATTTTGGATTTCTGATTAATTATTCTCTGTTGTTGATATAGAACTATCTTCTGAAGGAGCTTGAGGTCTGAAATCATGGAAAAACTTGGTTAGAGTGTGGAATTTAGCTGATTTGGTCTTGATTCATCTCTGATCATAGCAACTATGACGACGGACAAAAAGACTATAGTTTGGTTTAGAAGAGACCTAAGGATTGAGGATAATCCTGCATTAGCAGCTGCTGCTCACGAAGGATCTGTTTTTCCTGTCTTCATTTGGTGTCCTGAAGAAGAAGGACAGTTTTATCCAGGAAGAGCTTCAAGATGGTGGATGAAACAATCACTTGCTCACTTATCTCAATCCTTGAAGGCTCTTGGATCTGACCTCACTTTTATCAAAACCCATAACACAGTTTCAGCGATCTTGGATTGTATCCGCGTTACCGGTGCTACAAAAGTCGTCTTTAACCACCTCTATGGTAAACTACATCTCTCATCTCCCTCATTTAAAGGATAGAAATTCTTTTTAAGTTACTGTTGAAAGCTAAGTGCAACTGAGGTTGATGCAGTCGCGTTTTCTTTATGTAGATCCTGTTTCGTTAGTTCGGGACCATACCGTAAAGGAGAAGCTGGTGGAACGTGGTATCTCTGTGCAAAGCTACAATGGAGATCTATTGTATGAACCGTGGGAGATATACTGCGAAAAGGGCAAACCTTTTACGAGTTTCAGTTCTTACTGGAAGAAATGCTTAGATATGCCGATTGAATCTGTTATGCTTCCTCCTCCTTGGCGGTTGATGCCAATAACTGCAGGTAAAACCTGAAAAGATCATAGAAAAGTTTGAACATTTTCGATTTTTTTCGGACATGACAGGTAAACAAAAGTTTTTGTCTTTTCTTTGTTAGCCGCTGAAGCGGTTTGGGCATGTTCGATTGAAGAACTAGGGCTAGAAAATGAGGCCGAAAAACCGAGCAATGCGTTGTTAACTAGAGCTTGGTCTCCAGGATGGAGCAATGCTGATAAGATACTAAATGAGTTCATCGAGAAGCAGCTGATAGATTATGCAAAGAACAGCAAAAAGGTTGTTGGGAATTCAAC